AAAAACATCCACGGATTTATCTTACAGTAACAGGATGTTTGAAAGGAAAACCAACAATAAACAGGATTTTTTTTCGTAAATGTCATCTTTATTTTGTTATTATTTTTTATAAAATTTGTAGTGAACGACAGAGTATGAACCTATGTCAAAATGTTTTTCCGGCTGTCTGAACCATCCGGTCCTTGCCGCGGACATTTTACACAGGGCAACCCCGGGAAGTGAAAACCATTAGTTCACTGAATCGTACAATTTATAAATGGATATAAATTATTATTAAATTTTCATATAAAATAAATATTTACAAAATAAAAGAAACTGCTAGATTTTATTTCAAACATATACACAATATAAAATGAAACTAAAAACACATTTTGTTAAGTCGGAACATACAATCCAGTGAACTGAAAAGATACAAAAGAATGTGATGTAGAAAGTACAGTAATATTTTATGCGTCCAAATAGAAATATAAAATTTCATTAAAGTAATAAAAATTTCGTGACTGTTATATTCAAATAGAGAATAAAGAACGAATTATTAATTTTAATAAATATTGTTTTCAATGCAACTATGTGTACGACGGGAATATTTCGAATTTCTAATTTCAGTGGCTATATAAATCTGGTACAGCGAAATAATCTTGAACGCTTCATTTTATTTTCACTTGAGGCAACATGCCTTTGTCTCCGTCCGTAATTTCATGGTTCTGAAATACATCACGCGATATTTCAAAATATTCTAATCTATTTTCTTGAAGGCTGTTTTTATTTTTTTTAATAACCACCATTCTCACAATTATGTATCTGTCATTTAGACACTGACAGCATCACAAGACGAAAAACTCTTTCGAAATGTTTATTATATAATTCGAGGCAGTAAGTATGGAGTGGGTGTTGAAGATAAACATTTATTTGATAAGAAGGAAGTGCAGATTGAATCAAGGTCTGATTCAATGAACGATGTCCGTTCTAATGGGGATAAAGAAATCTGCATTGAGCAATTATGTGTTAACATGAAAACATTCAAAGCTTTGTACCGTCAAACGAGAAATGTCACGTTTGACATTTAAAATACACAAATAAAAAATGTTACTGGCCTGAAGAATGGACGAAACTTGAAATTAAAATAAAATTATATTATCGTTTTGGTATGAAAGGAGAGATTACAGATTATTAACTTTATTTCTAGTGCAATATACTTCAAATAGGGCTTTAATCCTTCCAAAAATTCAGAACTCTAAATACCTAATTATATACGAAATATTTAATCACGATCCTATAGCGTGTAACATGTTCCATTCTCGACATGAACACGAACCAAATAACCCAAATCACATTACATAGAACAAATATACTAAACCCCTTTTCTCTTATTATATCAATATTTATTATTATTATATTTTAGTAATGCAAAAGTAAGGAGTCTTGTCACTATTATTTGTAAACTTAAATGCTTGTTTTCGAATGTTCTTCGTTACAAACCGTTAAATTGTTAACAAATTGAGGTGGTAGAGCCCACTGCCTAGCTGTGGTCAAGTGATTGCAGCTCGAACATGGACTGGCTCGACCGGGGAAGTACCACCCTCTCACAGAAGATCGGCGTAAAGTAGCCTTAGTGGCTGCGTTTCGTTCGATGAGTGAGAGAGCCGGTTGCCTTTTCCCTTTTCCCATCCTTTCCTACCCCTTCCCTTTTTCCTCCCCTTCCTATTTTTCCTCTCCCTCTTCCCAAATCAAGGGTGGTGACACATCCGCAACATGTCTTATGTCGCGGATGTCCATGGGCGACGGTACTACCTCCAATAGGTAGGCCGTCTGCTCGGTTGCCCCCTTTACCATAAAAAAAAAATAAAAGAATATTTGTCTGTTGCCAAATTTTAAATAATATTTTGCTATAATATTAATGAATTTTTGTATACATAAAAAAATCTAAATATTTTTTTCTTGGCACGAGATTTCTCTTCTCTTCTTATATGTATTTGAATGAAATAGAGATTTATTTTGAAGCAATATACAGAATCAAATATGAAATAATATTTTTATTCTGTGCAATCGAGAGAATACATTTCGTCTGCGACTTGATATACTTAAACTAGGTTTCAACCCCTAGGGGTTATATGTAACACTACTTTCTATTCCCAATGGATTTTGAACGAAGCTTTCTAGAAGTAGTTGGATGAAATAGTTTTATATAATGGCAATTCCTTCGATTGATTGATTTATTTCAATTCACAAAGACACTGGTTCTAAGTTTTTATCTTATATTATCACGTCGTAACTCTGAATATCGAAACATTACGGAATGAATGATAAAATCTTTTGTAACTTATAAGAGATTTGTGTAAACGATCTACGACGATACTATCGCCGAGGTTAAAACTATTTTCAACTTTCATGACTTATTTTTTCATGTCATTTTACATGACAAAATTATAATATCAGTATCATAAGATACAAAACAAATGAATTTAAAGATTTTATTATCAACATATAATTACAATACACAAAAAAAAAGATTGAAGCGAGTATGTATATCCTTTTTTTAGACATCGGCTTTTAATCAAAAAACCTTTTTCTGTTGGTTACGGAAGTAAAAAATGCTTGACACTAGCTGAAGGTGTTGGAATTATGAATGTGAAAGCGCTTTTAGTTTCACGATTAATCCTCTAGGATCTCTTAAACCGCTGAGTTATGCAAGACTAAAGAACTCTTTCTGACTTCCACTGAGGAAAAAGGTCAAGATCTTAGCCGCACATGCACAAAAACAATAAAACACTATTACGATAGAAAATATCTACTTTACCGGTTCTTAGTTAAATAAGTATCAAAGTGGAACGAATTACGAGGCAATTATGTACGTATTTCAATTATATAATATACAGCTGCGTAATTAGATCGCAATGCGAGATATTTTATTCAATGCCCAAATATGTAGGGCATTTAGATTGTACTATATATTGTTAAGATAATTGACAGAAAAATGTATAACTACCTTTCTTTTTAATATATTATGTAATATTTCATTAATATTTTAAAATTTCATGATATTTTATTTATTTGTTCATAATATTGCTGGCCGTTTACAGCGATAGGTACTTCAAAATGGCGGATGATCTGTCAAGTGCATAGCCAGACTGGTTTCGCCCTCATCGCTCTCGATTCTCAACTAGGACTCGACGGGTTTTTTTTAAAAACGAACGATCTCTTTGAAGCAAAAACTATTAAAGCCGCATCCGCTATTTGGTGATAAGAAAGTCGGTATCTTCGGAATTAATTAGTTATTTTGTCACTTTGGTTCGTTAGTCGATCAATCGTTACTATTTAAAATACCTTAAATAATTAATTCCTTAAGGTTTAACTGTTAATATATATGAAAATGCAAGAATTTAAGATAAAAACGTTTGTTTATGATTGTTTTATGCCAATCGTTGCAACTTTTTTTCACTACTTATTGAAAAATATATATGGGACGAAATTTCATATAGAGATATATCATAGGATACATTTTTCAGACGTGTTATTATTATTCACATCTCAAAGAATGTTATTCATCTAATGTTATCATTAAGCAATCTGTGCCGTTACACAGAAATAACTGGCATCTTAAGGACATTTCAACCGATTATTAATATGTAAGTCCAATTACTTACTGGTAACTAGTAATTTTACGTCACCTAAATAATAGCCTATACCGATTTTTTTCTATGTAGTTATAAATAAAGTGGTTAGTGAATAGCCACAGAATCTGTCGACGAAAAGTGTAAAATTTATGAATTGAATCTTCAGCAATTAACGAAATTGATCTTTATTGCAACCAATTTAAACACAATATACAATAATCTTATTTAATAAATTTATAAATGTAAAAATGTATTAAATTGTTGGAATAATACCTAATAATTGTAATTAAAATTGTCTGTATCGCAATACCAGCATTATTAAACACCGGATAAAAACTATTACCGCGCAGAACTAGCCGCGTTCGAAGATATAATAATAGAAGTCAAAACGTTTGTAGCGTATGTAACATTAAATCCCTTGGTACATACGACTATCACAATAAATAGCATCAATTTCATCCCATTTCCTGAGCTCCCCGCCAACGAGTACCACTGAATTATTAGTTTCAATAGAATTAAACTTGGAGGTCGAATACACCCATATCGTTCCAACGGATTTTTGCTTATTAACTATAGTTGTACGACATAGTTGCGATGCCATTTTAATCTATAATTAAATAATAAGGGTAATAAATTAGATATTTTTATTAATTTAAGCCATGGCGTCTTTCAATTAAACAATTTGAATTTAGTCACTTTATGTCTACATATTATTCTGACGTTGACAGTAAGTAAATCAAGTGACAGTAATCGGTAATCGGTATGTCCAAATTCCAAAACATTTGTAAACATATCGTCAAACCATTTATCTTACACAATACATTGTTTCATTCTTGTTTCACAAAATGTTTTATAATTTCTTTGAGTATTACATCAAATATAAATTTTGACTGAACCTTATTGTTGAAATAATTAGAATTATGACACTACATAATATGTACTAAATAAGATAGGTTTTTAACACTATATATAATATTTTTATATGAAATGAACATAAATAGTAAGTTTATTGAGATATATATTTTTTGAAAGCAAATTATAATATCTATCCAATTTATTTAAATAATAACAAGCTTTTGTAAACATTTAAAAGCCGTTAAAATACTCGCGTCTAGCAAAAAAATAAACATAACATTTTAATAAGTAGAAATTAGAACTGTTTGTTGGACTTCACGATAATATTATTAGCACGTATTAAATACATAAAACGTTAAAAAAATAAGGAAAAGGAAACTTACGGTTGACTTTTTCTTGTCATTTTAAATAATAAAAATATTCACTCGGTCGAAATAAAAAACACTAGCAGCAACTGTTCGTTGTATGCAATACACAAAACAAAAACACGAATAAAAAAAAATTAAAAAGTTCGAAATACAAATTTGGCGGTCACATGAACATGTTTCCCTCGTCGATCGTGTCACAACTCTCAGAGATCTCGACTCGATCCGGACGCGATATGCGCCCTACTTCAACTTCAACGTATCTGTTGTGCGATAGAGATCGCGAATGCATTTCATGAATATTAAAAAGAGACAAAATATTTATATTTTCCTACTGATTTTTGTAAGTTATAAACACTACATTTAACACTAGTTATGAGTAATAGATGTTCTTATTATACACTACACTAAATAGAACTATTAATTTGTAATACAGAGCATTCAGTTGTAAGTAGCGACATCTACGAAAAACAACGGAACTGACTAGATAATATTATGACAACATTCACTACGTTTTCTTTGACATCGATTTGTATAATGTTTGATCTATCTAATAGATGGCGTGATTATAACAAAACACTTTAGAAATGAAATTTTAATTTAAGAGTATGGTTTTAAATATATTTTTTTATAAAATAATAAAAACTCTATATATTTTAATAATAATATTAAATATTGGTATGACATTTTAAAATTAGTAAAAACTTTTTACGCAAATATTTTAAGGTTTTTTAATTTATGAAATGGCCCATAAATTTATGGCCATTTGGCCCATAAATGTCGTGATAAGTATTTAGAGAAACAATATGTATTTACTTTGATATTCGTAACAAACAGATTGATAACGAATAACCTGCCTTCATGTGGCGACAAGCGACGTAGCGATAAGTAACGCAAACTCACTGTCACAGTCTATAAAAATATGTTAAACTTGATTAATTGGTATAATTAAAAATTTGATAACTCTTAATCAATTTCAATACGCCTTAAAGAAATTGATAAAAAGTAAAGTATTCCCTGTAATATTTATGTATGTATTGAGTCAGTTTTTTTACTGAGGTTTTGACTTAATTTAATGCACTTGACTTATTTTTTTTTAATTTATTAAATTTTAATATTTCAATAAGATGAGGATGCAATCTTGTATTGTTCATTCATAACATCAATTATAAGCAAATAACATTTTGATTAAAGATTTATAATTATGAAACAAAATGGATATATCTTCTTAACCAATGAAAGTTTTTCTGTGGAGTAAAAATGAAATAAAAGAAGTTTCGAACTAATGTCAATAAATTTAATATCTAAAAACTTATTTGATACTATCTTTTATAGCATTATGCTAGCGACTCTCTGAATTTAATTAATATATTTCGTACAAATTTTAGCCCGTAACTTTGTCCTCTTGAACTTAGGACTCGCAATTAAAGACAAATAGTATGATTAAAAATGGTTACAAAATATCTTGCGATTTTATCTGAAATGCTTATAAATTATTAATTTTAATTATAACATTGAGTGATCGATATCAAAGGCCATGTCTTTTTAAACAGATTTTCAGTTCATTGAACATATCGACTTTTATGAAAGTCTATTCAAAATTGTGGAAATCCCACAATGCCTGTCCTAAATAAAATTGATGGACTTTGTTATGTCAGAGTAAACAGAAGTACACTTATATGGTCCGATACTTGTTTTTATGTACCTAAATTAAATATAAAACAAGCTTTGCTATAGCAGCACGACCTAAATAATTTACTTATTATTACATAAAATATTCAGAACCAATTTTTAAGTATGCTTATTAATATTTTAAGTATGATATATCATTCACTACAAATGTTTTCATTTTGAATATAACGTGAAATACATAACTTTCTATTTATATTGAACAAAAATTAATATAAAATAATGAAATAAACTGACCAATTATTAAATTTAAAACTCATAACTCATTTCAAAAAAAAAATCTACATACGTAATAAAGTCAACTAAGATCTAAGGTAAAAAAGTTGTATGTGAATAGTGAACTTACATTTTAATCTTCTTGCCTTCAGCTTGAGAGATGGTGGCGGGCGGTGGTGGCAGATCGTCCATAGGTACCTCCTCGTTGGGCGGAGAAGGAGGAGACTTATCAAACTCAGCTATCGGGGCCAGTTCCGGCATCGGTGACACTGAATTGCTATCCATAGCCGACAACTTTATGGGAGACACTTTGATTTCTTTATAAACCTCTTTAACCCCCGATTTTACGGAGGGATCACTTCACTTTCAGTGAACTCGTATCGTAACTTAATTTGAATTATAAAGTAATCTGTAAGGAATAATTTCAACTAATCTCTAACGACTGATTCGCCCTGACTTTCGTTCAACTAATCCCGATCGCAGATTGTTTGACCGGAACGGAAAAGCAATTAGGAGTTGTGGGGAAATGAAATGGAAACAGATGAAACGAGTTACGAAACAACAAGAAGTAATAAAGAATATTACTAATAATAAGCAATGAATTTTATTATTCCGATACTTTTATGGCGTTTTAATTACATGTGTACATAATAACCGGTATTCAATACGTCTGTCTGGTCATAAACACACCAAAACTATGGTTTACTCACGGAAGGACAATGTCCTACACCCTACCTATTATTATTTATCGCTTGACATGACATTACGGCTAGGGAACGCCGCGGTATAAATTTTGTATACTTCAAAAACCTTGAATCTATTTTTATGTTACCAAAAATATCGTTAATAATGTAACACGATCTATATTAAACTGTGAATAAGGTTAAACGTCTCAATTAAAATACTTTGTATGCTAAAAACTTGAATGAGAATTTGAAGAGGTCTTAAGTGGGATTAGTCAAGAAAGTGCTGAGTCGTTTTATCTATAAGGGATAACGAATCAGGAGAGCAGTTGATCATGAGATATTTATCGAAACCGCGTCGTTGTAACTACAAATACCAGATAAGTTAAAGATACTCATACTCATTAATTAATAGTATTCCCACATTTATTATTATTTATCATTAAATTTGGCATTGGAAAATTAGTTTAAACATAGAACATCAGTTAATGAGATTCAAGACTTTCGCGAAAAATCAGGAGTATGTAGTTTTTAAAAATATTACTTAGTTTTATTTAGTAAGTATATTACTTTTGCAACGAAAGATTCAAACATACAAGCGTTTCTACTTAACATGTATTTCTAATCTATGTAGTGAAAATATGTTACAATTTTCCATTTAATATATAACATAAGATAATTTTCCTTGATATTTGTTCATACAGTTTCATCATTGTATACACAGTCACACATTCTTGCAATATCTTAACAACCATCAGCCTATTTATTTAATAACTCATTGAATACACACTAGCGCAAGAATAATAAGTTCTGCTGTATAGAAAACAGTATAATTATATGTACGACATATATTTTTTGTTTGAAAAATGATCTATATAAACACTGTAAATGCAGCTTCAGTTTTTGCATTCAATTTCTGGCAAACGCGAAGTTTTGCTTGCAATTTGTTTTAGTTGTAACATTTTCTACACAAAGACAAATTAAACCGCTGCCACGAGATCGAGTCGATCCTCTCAGGATTTCTAATATCCGCAAATAAAACGAGGAGAACCGCATTTCCTAAATTATTGCTCCCTCGGTGATACCAATTAGGTTTCGCTTACATTTAGATAAACTCAAAATCTTACATACAATTGCTATGATTACTAGGTATCGTGATCTTTATGCGATGTTTTTCCAAAAATATATTAAACAAGTCATTCATTATATATTTATAGCCAAGTAGGTGTATTGTAAAATTAGATTAGCTGCAATGCAATTCACTGGAAATAAATTTGTATATACCAAAAATCATTATAGAAACTGTGACTTGTGACTGAGTCACTAAGGAAAAGCGTATTACCTAGCATTGCTACAAAATAACTGCTTTGCCAAGTCGTATAAATTGTCTTACGCCCGCGGCTCGCTAGTAATTTGCTCTCAGTTCTAGTATGAATATGAAATGCGATCTGTAATATCTCAGATGAAAGTGATACCGAACACACCAAAGGTCCTTGTACTCGGATATTACATGAGAGTAATTGAAGACATTTATATTATACTTATCATTATATTGGCAGCTTGTAATCAATTCATCAAATTAAATGAGAACATTTAAACGAAAGTGTACCAGAATTACTTAGGTAATTTCTAATATTTTTTATCTAATTACACTAGGTAAATATTTATGCAAGAATTATGCAAGTATCGACTATCCTACAAGTTGGCTAAACGATTCTTATCACAAAGAGACGACTTGAAATTCAGAGATCGCTCTAGAATTTCTAGACTTCAAAGACCCTGGCTCTAAATGATGAGTGGCCATAATGTGAGAAAGAGATTGCTTACTCATCTTCTAATTTCCTTCTCATACATAACGAGTTCTAAGCAGTTTGAATATTTGTAATTTGTACGCATTATCTTTATTAATTACTGAAAAGATGACATAATAACACTTTTATAGATAAGTATTATATGTATTATGCCTTTGTTTAAATATTAGATCATATAAAAAATCAGTGCATATTCATTTTTATAAAATACGATGTTCATAAAACTATAGAAATTACAAGCAAAATGCAACTCCCATTTCTAAAATGGGTCAAGATGGAATACAAAACGTAATTCCTACAAGGTATCGTCTTTACAGAACGTTATTAAAATAATACAGTTCTTATTCAAATTGTAATAAAGCTTATTATTGTACATAATATATCACAGGTGGATATGAGCCTCGGGACTTTTAGCTATTGAGGTCAACTTTAATAAGCCGCCACAATCAGTGACTACACTATTCTGTCTTTATTTGTATTCATTTTTTTGTAGTTCTACATTTATTGTTCAAGTATTTTAAGATGAAAAATAGTATTCGCCACAGTTTATTTTAATTACAGACATTTTTATGTATAGATAAATTATGATAGGAATAAAAACGTAGACTGGAATTTAATTATTACAAAAAAATAATCGTTACTGTTGCAAAATACAGAAACAAACATTAAGGTATGAAACCATAATACATCGTGCATTTAAAGTATATAAGTATATTTTACAACGACGTCCCGTAATAAAAACGTAATGTATCCTAAACATCACACATAAATTCGGCTGTTAAAATTCTAGGTACACATTCAGAGGACTGATATATAAATTAAAAACTAAAGATCGTCATGACGTAATGAGAACATGTGTTTTACAAATTCGCATAAATATTATGTACAATATAAATTAATACAGATGTATTATGAGACAAGATATAATTGTGTTCCGCACTAGTTTTTAATATTATATTTCATCACTAAAACATATGTACATTATCTTAGAAGACAATGAACCATACATAATACGTTCATATTTTACACATTACCAGTCATCCTGTACTCTAAAACAGTTCCCCGGGGACGTGTCAAGTGATTGTGTGACCTGTTTAAAAGGATATAAGAGCAATTATCCGTTGCATTGGAGCGAGGAAGAGGACAATTTGATATGGCCTCAAATCATTCCGCTGCAATGGGGAAGGCTATCCTACGCCTGGATCCGGGCCATATATCGGCTCTATGGAACACATGACTTCAAAACAGCTGATACAGTACTTAACATAAGACTAATTGAGTAATTTTTAAGAATACTATTCGACTAATATATAAAAAAGTAGATAGACGCAACTATGTAGTTTTAAGAAAAGTCATAAAGATTATCTAAAACTTTGATGATTGTTTTGACAATTGTCACGAAACTCATAAAATCAAATATATTAAGATTTTTTCAGTTGTAAAATCATATTTGATACATTGTCTAAGACATTTAGAAATAATAATGGACGTCGTAGATGATAAAGGAAGTTACAATTTAACGTAATTGGCATTTTTTTTACTTTTGGCCTATACTAGTATGCCTAGGCGTACGTATCTATCAATATAATTCCGTTATTAGGTCTCACCTGGCGTTACTAAAGAAGTGACATTTTTTAATTTCCTCCCTCTTGTTAGTTCCCGACTTTGATCTGCCTCAGTTGATAATAACTACAAAAGAATTTATAACATATATATTTTAATCTTCCTAAAAAGAAAGTGTTTTTAAGTATAAACAGAGAAAATTTTTAAATTATTACTTCATTCTATCGCTTACCCCAAGTAGGTAATAAAAACGCGATAATTAAAACCTAGCCCATTAACTGACACACAATATTTTCCTACTTTTTATTAAGTATTTGATAAAACTAGGGTGTACGCGGAAATACTTTAATAGACTCATTAGGCTGAATGGAAATGACACGCTCCTGACATGCAGTCACGTAAAAAAAATATATACATTTTGACAGGTGACATATTAAAAATGTCATTTCGCTAATTACAGGGAAAATTTATGTCGTTTTACCTCGGAATTGGAAATTAAGTATTTTTTTAGCAATTAGTCTAATAAGTTTAATTTATTAGAAATGAAAAATACCCACAATATGTATGAAATTCCCTTTAGTGTTTATAAATTCTAGGGAATAATAAATTACGTTTATAACTCATTTTTATTTTCAAATAAATTTTTGGCATCGTTAATTCTTTTTTATTGGTTGTAGTGTTATAACTGTTATACTAGCATAAGATAATTAAATATTTGAAGTACTTTTAGTTCCCAAACCCAAATATTTTTCATGAAAGTAGGTACCTACGTCTTAAGGTAAAACATTTCAGTGTGAAATAGGGAAATAAATTTAGAATATATTTAGTTAACTTTTAGCATTATATCTGTAACATATGTCGCTTTATGACTTTAATTTAAACTTAATGCACTAGTTAAAGTACCCTTCATTTTTCTTCCATGCACTGCTGTTGATATTAAAACTTTAAAAGTAGCATTTTTACCTAGTAAGAACGTTAAAGACGGCTATAAAATAGTTAATTCGACAGCTTTACTTAATAAAACCACGAGCAAAGAAAGCCAATGATATAATGTGTACGTAAATATTATTCTTAAATCGAGTAAATGTTAAATATTAACCACAAACTTAAAAACTATTAGCTTGCAAACAGTAAGCTATCATGTAATTATTAAGCTTTACATTTCAGCCGCAGATTTCTTTGTATATATGAAGTTAATTGAGATTTTTCATTATGATGATAAAAATAGTACATACGTAAAAAAATAATGGTGTTTTGTTCGTCTCTAGCTATTGAAAGAGTTATAAAAACGAGTATATATAATGGAATGACCTATTAAATAAATTTTGAATTTATAAAATTGAAGAGAGAAGAGTTTTTAAGTACTTTATTCGTCATAAAACCCATGATTGATAAGTTTTTTCATACATACTACACTTTATTATAATATAACAAAGTTTTTAATTAGTCTAATACTAATAAAGCAGATATTATTATACTCTTATTAAAGTCTATTTCAGTAAACCACGATAATTAAGTAGTTTACATTCATAAATAATTATTCTAAATCACGATGAACATTTAAAGCAACATGACACTAAATACTTAAAGCATAAGAATCAAAATTGACAAAAAAACAGCCTTTGAATATCCGTCTGCACGTTATAAGTTCAATGTAAATATTTATAAAAAGTTCGTATGTGTGTGGTCCTAGTGGCCAGTGGGTTTACTAGAAATGCTATATCTGTAGGTTGACTAGTATTCCCCTGCGACTTTGCCTGAACAAGGCCAACAATAAGGTCGGTGAGATACAATTGCAATTGTTCGTGAACCAATAAATACATAATGTAACAGACGTTTATTCGATACTTCTTTGTTATATCAATTTATTTTCTTGTTGAAACTAATATTTTGCGGATATACTACGGTAATTTATTTTTGATAAAAACTACATACACCGGCTTTTCGGCTTCTTTACAGCAACCGTGATCTCGTCTGACGACGGGAGTGTGTAGTTTTTATCAAAAAATAAAGTCGCGTTGTATATCCGCAAAATATTGCTTTCATTTAAATTACTCGCGAAAATCTCCGGTCCCATTATTTGCTATTTCTTCTATTATAAACTATATATCAAGAACTAGGCGAGTCGAATACTCGACGTTTTCACAAAGGTTTATCCAACAATGAGTCTCGATAAAAATATAAAGAAACCTTACTGAAAGCCGCCCTCATATTTAATGAACATTCGAGTGTTTTACGATCTAGGGCACCGTGTAAAGTTAGGGGGGTATTGACACCGAAGCAAAAAATATTAATTAGGACCCTGTTACACTTTAAGCCTATTGTTGGATATAATTCTATTGTCATGATTTTTTTGGTACATTTCAGATGTTTTAAGAGGATCATGCTCATGGATTTTTGAGTTATTCACTTTGCTATTTTCTATTTTGTTCCGAAGTACACTAGGTATATTGAATTCAATTATTTTCTAAATACTTTTTCTAGTCCTTATTGTATCTTAATTGCTAAGCCATGCTTAGGACACACGTATCTCAAATGACTTCATTAAAATATAATAAAAGTAAATAAAAGTACTCAAACTATTTGTTTGTATGTAAAGCACATGTATTTAACGAAGACTAGATTTTCTAAAACATACTAAGATAGAAAAATCCTTGAAATATATAATGAAACAAATAATATCATATATCCATTGATATTTTATTAAACATCTATTATTTATTGTAAAAAGGAAATATAATTTTCTTATTTATGCAATTTTCTCAATATTATAGGATAGCGAAAATTGTTTTAGTTTCAAGTTCAACACAAGTAAGACAGAAAACGTATCTCTACCATGTTAAATTTAGTGTTGCTTAAAAAATATTATACCCATCTCAAATCCTAGAAAATATTACTTTAGAGATTTAACAAAATTCAGATATAATATCAGTTTTCACATTTAAATTTATCGGTCCCGTTCGTCCTTTTGAGTGCAGCCAAATGTTACTTTCTTATGAACTTACCTCGTGATTGTAAAATGCAAGTGCGCGTGCGTCGTGAAAGTGATACGCGACTAGCATTAATTGATATAGTTTTAAACAAACATTTTACTTAATAGAAATTTGTATGCATCTAGACTTCGTGAGATAAACATCTTAACCTGCCTCTATATAAAACACTTCCGAGAGAATTGTAACGATTTGAAAACAATTGAATTACTGGAATTTTAGAGTTATTTGAAAGAATAGAAATCGGAACATATTCTACAATTATATTCTGTATATATAGCAATGCTGACCGAAAATTCTAAAAAATGTTAACAGACCTGTTATTTGTACTTTTATAAGGCAGAACACGTAATTCATAGTATTTTATGAGTAATTTTTTAATAGATAGTTCTTGTAATCATTATGAGGTAACGCTAGAATTATTGTTTTTATACGAACACGAATCTATTAAATGAATAACAAATTTACAATTATATGTAAAATTTAAATTAAGATTTTTATATGAAAAGTAGGAATAAATTGTTAAATAAACATGAAATATAAATAGCCAATGTAAACAAATATATCCCTTAAGTTGTAAGCAATGACTGTTAGTGCATTCATTAAATTCAAGACTGAACCGCTCTCGTATAGTTCCCGTGTCCTATTTGCCGTGAGAGCTCTCGGTTGCAGTGGAAATGTTACGAGCTCATTAGCGTTGGTGTGATACGCAGATTTTAAATTTGATTTTCCGCTTTACTTGTTATCGGATAGCACTTTCTTTGCGGTTTTTGCTTTAATTAAACGTCTCTATGGCTATAATCTTTGCTTTGTCCTCTTCTAATAAATGGTATATTCGGTTTATCAGTAGAAATAAGGGAGAATACGAGACGAAAGGCAAATTAACATTTAAATTGTGTAGTAAACTGTAATATTTAAACTAAAATTAAATTTAATAAAAAAGAATAATAAATATATTTTATATGGCGACCGCGATTTTTTAATGATCTTATACTTGTAACACTATATTATAGTAACCCCGATAAATGTCAAGCATAGCTACGCGTATCTATATATATATTGTAAGGGATGCTGTGCGCTACATGCCCGGGCGTAGTATGAACAAAGCCTTCCCCTACTTTAACAGACAGTTAAAAAATCCAATGTACACTAAACCACCTACCACTATGATCGTATTATGTGTCAAAACGAGCACTTTTATATGATTATAATATATATTATATGAATGTACGCGGCGCGTGTGATCTCGGTAACGCGGTTCGCGGGATACTGTCAGCCTCCGTGATCCGAGGGGCGAGCCTGCGCGGTGTAAGTCCCATTAAGGACGACGTAGCGTAGCTACGGTCGCCGCCCCGGTAAAGGAAAGCTCAGCTTCCCGTCCCGGGTCAAAAATTTTCGTGGATAATACACGGCGATAATATAAACGGGATTTCCTTTCGTCTATGTTACAGGATTTGAAATTATACGAATCATTTATTTTTGTATTTAGTTGTATTCGATGCATAATAATTTTGTAACAAAGCAATCGGTTAGGATTTCTAAATTTATGTTATTCGCAACTTTCATTGTTCTTTCACAACAAAGAATTATTAATTCTATGTCACACTTGTGATTGAGTTTATATCAAAATAATAGTACCTAATATGAAATTTATGATTAAATTAATACTTTGTTATCCTTCGGAAAATTTTATAAGAGTTAAAAACTAATTGTTAATATACACTCCCAAGAAAAGACTTCTAAAATGGTATCTTTTATATGGCTATCTAAGTCAATGATTTTCTAACACGTACATTGCAATTTACTTGTCGAAAGATGTTTATAAAATTATTTTGAGACTATCACTGTAACATTTTTTTATAAGCTAATAATTATAAATTTACTTATACAGTATATCTGCGAAATTATGAGAAAGTGAAATTCGATTAGTTAAATCATTGGAGTCGCCCCTAGAGACTAATTCCCAATCGATTTCTTTACCATGTTCTATTTAATAACACACAAAATTTACAGATAAATCTAGAGGTAATTAAATCATTATTTACAATCTCAAACGCCAGAGGTTTTTTATGAAATACATGACAAATGTTTCAACCATAATATTATATTACGATCATAATAAATCATGTAAGGAAATAAGAGAAGGCTTTATGAGGTAATGAAAAACATGGCTTACATTTGATCTAGTAAAATGGGCTGTTCACCGTGAGAAATAAGGATAATAATTCATGGATATTTATCATTAATTACACAAAATCCTTAAACAGCATTACGCAAATAATTATGTACATCTAACGAAGAAGCTCCTTTTCCTACATCTGTATTTTTATATTTTATTTGTACAACACAAAGTTCATAGCCCCTGAAAAGTAGTGCAGAGCCATCTATTTCTTTTCACAGCAACTACGTACAACCAATTCCAACTCGGCTCTTCACTTACACAAAATAGTTTGAATATAAAATTAAAATGAAACTCCAATGTTTGAAAGAAATGAAACACATACATAGAAATAAGAATTATGTCACACACACGATATTAATAATTACTATTAACTAAATGTTTTTAAACCGTTTTTATTTCTTTTATTGTAATTGTATATAATTTTCCAGTCATAAGTTATTTCCATTCCAAATAAAACGTCTCTAGACTAATAGTAAAGTCTGTATTATTAATAACAGTAAATCTTGAATATTAATGTAAAAAAGTTGGAGTCAAAATAACAAATAAGATGTGTAATAAAAATGTTTATTACTATTTTTTAATAATTATATTAGTAAATATAAATTTACTTTTGCTTCTTTTTATTCAGTTTTGCTGCCGCTTTATTTCCTGATTTGGCTTTATCCTTATTCAGTTGGCCGACAACTTTTTTCTTATTCTTATTTTTAAGTTTTTTTGACGCCTCAATTTCCATTTTTTCGGTAATTTTTTCTTTATTCGTGTTCACTGTGACAGTTGGCGCGTTTGCTCCGCCCTTCTTTTTATTTTTCTTCTTATTTTTATTCTTTTTCGGACTACTACTACTATCATTTTCCACTTTGTTTGATGCTTTCGATGTCACTGCAGTTTGATTTGTCGTTTGCGCTTTGGCCACATTACCTTTTGCATTTGTTTTTGTTTCTTCCTTGATCACACTTTGATTTTGTTTTGTTTGAACATTATTACCTTTATTTTGTTTGCTTGGTTCTTCATTTGCCATTTTAGCTTTGTTCTGTTTCGCCTTTTTATTCTTTTTGCCTTTTAATTTAGGTTCTACTTTAGAGTCTTTTGTTTCTGTCACTTCAGTTTTCGTTTCTACGACATTTTTTACATTGTCACCTTTACTACTATCTGCTTTTTGATTCTCTTGAGGTTTGTTTTTCTTTTTATTTTTCTTATTTTTGTTTTTCTTTTGCACCTGTTTTGAATTATCTTGACCTTTTGAAGTGTTGTCACCAATACTGAAACATTCAATTACAGATAGAAATTAGAAATATTCTTTACAATTGTATTAATAAGAAATAAGGACTTTAAATGGAAAATAAATGCAACTTAATCATACCCATTTGTTTCATCTGTGGTTTTGGTTTTTTTATTCTGTGGTTCAACAGCAACAGATTCTGCTGGCCTCTTTGCTGGTGTATTTTTTATTTTAGATTTCTCCTGATTTGTTGCATCACCATTTTGTTCTGCATCTTCCTTTATTTCTTCATCGTCTTCATCCTTAAATGGCTCGGGCTGTAAAAAATATTGTTTTTGTTAATATATAATACATATGAAATTGTATAGTTTATTTTAGTTATTTAACAAAACTATACATACTATAACATTAGAGAACTTTTTAAATTTAGCTACAAAGAAGCCGTCCATATTATGTGTATGAGGATAGAATCTTCTTGTTAGTTTTAATGATGGATGGAATCTATGATGTCTGTATTTAACAAATCCCTCTGTTCCAAAATCAAGGCCGGTCGGCACTAACTTAACATTCCTTCTTTTCAATGCATAATTTACAACCCATTCATTTTCTTCCGGTAATATAGAACATGTGGAATAAACAATGTAACCTCCTGTACTGGATTTAGCATTACAACAATCTATAGCGGCAAGTAAAAGTTGCCTTTGAAGATTGAAACATCTCTGAATATCCTTTTGTTCCTTTGACGTTTTCACACTGGGATCTTTAGCTATAACCCCTGTTCCTGTGCAAGGGGCATCAAGTAATACTCTATCGAAACCCTTAATGACCTCTGGGAATTGACGGCCGTCATAGTTACATATAACAGCATTAACAACTCCCAACCTGTGGAAGTTACCCACAATCGCTTTAGTTCTATCTTTATTAGCATCATTAGCAAATAAGGCGCCTGTATTTTTCATGATTGCAGCTATATGCGATGCTTTACCACCAGGCGCCGCACACATGTCTAATATTCTTTCATTCTCTTGTGGCGCTAAAGCCATTACTGGTAAGAAACTAGATGCCCCTTGTAAAATATAATGGCCCGCCAAATATTCCGGAGTAGCACCGATTGGTACTGTAGAACTATAAATTACAAGACCAACTTTGCTCCACTTTCCAACGGGATCTAAATTAACTCCTCTATTAATTAAGGCTTGAGCTAAATCCCTTCTTCTCGTCTTCAAGCTATTAGTCCTAATAGTCAATGGTCGAGCTACTTCACTCGCTTCAAGAAATTCCACTAATTCCTGTACTGGAAATATTTGCATGAGAACTTCCATGAGAAATTCATTATAACTGTAATACATACATAAGTCTTTCATCAATAGTTCAGTGTATTCACACCTTGATCTCTCTTGATCCTTCAAACGGTTGAAATCACTCAAAACGGTCACAACGTCTTTTATTCTTTGATGGATGTCTTGTAAGCTCGTAGGATTCTGCAGTTCCTCTTCAGAGGGGAATGCAAATACATCTTGTTTAGAAATGTTCAGTTGCAATTCATCATCGGCAAGTTTCTTTTCCATCTTTTGTTTCTTTTTAAGTTTGATATTAGCTTTCTCGATTGGTAACATGTCATCATCATCATCGTCATCATCTTTCTCTTCATCACTAGAGTCTGAGTTATAGTCCATTTTATTCTCATTTTCAGCATCATCATCTTCATCAGGTTCATTTTCTTGTTCCTCATCTGTGTCTACGAATAAATCATCAAGTTTGCCAACCTGTAAGACATAAATAAAAATGTAATAAGATAATGACTTGCATGTAGTTATAAAACAAACTAAAATTTGGTAAGCTTTGAGGGTAGAAGTCTTATTCTATTAATAATATTTTAAGAGATTCGTTACATTTATTTCTTATTTTCTTGGCCAATAACTCAAAATGGTCTTGTAACATAAGATGAAATCAAAATAGACTACATAACTATTACAATAATAGAAAAGTTATAACTACCTTATATTTTTCTTTCCCAGTTTTTTCTGGTGCTTCCTCAACATCTTCATCTTCTACAACTTCTTGATCACTTCCAGACTCATCCTCATCATCTTCTGAATTGTATTCTTTGGATTTACTCTTCTGTTTAGGTTTAAGCCACTCTTTGTTGTCATCTGTAAAACCTGTAGAAAGAGAATTTTCAATTACACTATTTTTAAACTATAGTAATACCCCATTAACGCGACTCCGTTATGTGCGGTTTCAGTATAACGCGATTTTCAAAAATTTATTCAGTTTGGGACATTGCAGAGTATAGACAATAATGATGACCGTGTCTTGAACGTGTGTCAAACGATTAAAAACAGTGTTTGGTGTTATGAATGTATTTTACAAGAACGTAAACAAAACGCTACCCAAAAGACAATACATGTATTTTTCGTAAAAAAATAGGAGTACCTATGTATTGTATAGTGTTCTTAGAATTAAAGTGATTAATTAAAATGATTTTTATATTTGTGTGTTAAATGTTGACTGTGTTTAATCATAAACGTCGATATACGCAAATTTCAGTTAACGCAATTTTCTTTGGAACATATCCCTCGTGTAGAGCAGGGTATTACTGTATTTTCCATATACAATTAATAAAAATTATATCAAAAACTTTGAGATCAATTACCTTCCACATTTTCTTGTTCTGAATCTTCAGATTCATCTTCGGATTTGTCCTCGACTACTTTCTCATTTACCTTTGCAACATTCTTCTTTGCTTCTTTCAAAGCTTTTTTCTTTTCAAGAAGTTCTTTCTTTTTTTTAAGCCTCCTAGCAGCTCTCTGTTTTTGTCTATGGCTCAATTTCTTTTCTTCATTGTCATCATCAACTGTTATATAAACATGAAAATGTTATTAAAATATAGATTTTACAACCAAAAGTGATAATAGAATGCTTATACAATATCTAGTGTTCATTGAGAATATTTTATGCATCAGTTACCCCACATTTATATTAAAATAAAATAAATCTGTTTATTTACTTGTCAATTTTAATTTAATTTAATTCAAAGAAATGCACATGTGTGTTTAACAAATTTAATTAAGATGTGCTATTTAGTACAAACCTACAAATAGAATATTAATTATAATGATAATAAATGTAAAGATTTACATTGATGCAGGAAATATATGTATATGCATATTTGTTTTAATTTATTAAAACATAATTCATAAGAAAATTCATAAACATAGAAACAGTTTTAAATCATTGAATTCATTGAAATAATATTTATTCACAATAAGATAACACAAAAAAATATATATTACCTAAAAGTGTTTTAATATTGGGCCTATGTGTAAAGTGTAACGTGATTTTTGAAATGTCTTTTATTTTAAAATTAACTTTTACTTATAACCCTGTCGCAGCTACAAAAAGTGTAAATAAGTTTGTTGGTTAAAAGTGCTAAGTAAGAAAATAACATAAAATTCACTATTCTAATTTTAGGGCAACTCGTGTACTTACTTAGTCCTTTTTTGAATACAGGATCAGGCTGCTTCCTCGCTTTCCTACCCGGTCCTTTTTTAACCTTTACTGATTCATCAAATTTGGCTTTCCGACCCATTTAGACCTATTTTATTCTTGCAAAGGATTAAATCTATTCTTACCTAATAACTTAAACTGGAAATAATAAAATGTTAACCAAACTAACTTTGAAAACACGTGTGAATGTTACTTGCCGCATTTAGTAGTCAGTAAGTGTCAATGTCATAGTCAAACCAACAGTCAATGTCAAGTTTTCTATTGTCAATATCAAATTCAGATTAGAAACCTGACTAAGACTTTATACTGTTTGTCTAGAAAATAAAAATAATTAAATATGGTTTGATTATTTAATTATGTAATAAAAATATATTTTTAAAAATTTTAAACAGTTTATAATTTTACTCAAACTTTCAAGAAAGACATGTGAAACAAAGTATAATCTTGACATTTTGCACTTTGTTTTATCCGTCATTCAGACTAAGATATTGGCATTAAATAATTTGCGAAATGAATTCAGATTAGTTGTAGTTTAGTTTAAATAAAATTTTGAATAAAATATTAGTTACCGCCGTTCTTATAGTGAGCAAAGTATTAAAATGGAATACTTATAAAACTGTGCATCGATTTTAAATAGTCATGACAATTTTATCAATCGTAAGAAAATATGATATTGACTAAAAGTTATAACTTTGGACCAAGAGCGTTTACTTCTGTTAAACAGTTATTTTGGTGAGTAAATAGTAATAGTGATTTTTGAATAATTAAGGTGTAACATTGTTAATCATTCTTAAATTCGTTTTACAGTTTTCAGGGTCATTACGTAAATAGAAATAATATACAATGTCATTGCCATGCACAACAAGGACAACGGCGCCTATTTTTTAATTTTCCAAAGTCTAGTCGTAAACGTGAATATTGTGGAAGGCAGCTAGTTGGGTATGTCTCAAATCTAATATTTTGGTTTTACTTCCATTTATTGCACAATATTAAAAATATATCTAAACCTACATGTAAAATATGCTTGAAATACATAATATATTTTTAGTAATATGTTTTGTCTTTATTTTCATTATTAATGAAAGGATTAGCATAATTGCTCATACATGCTTCAGTGATTTCATGTTTATTGATATATGCAAATTCAGTGACAATAAATTAAAATCATTAACCATTTATCTTATATTGTATCTAATTTTCAGTTACACGATGGAGCAGATGTTTGAAGTGGTATCAGATGTGGAGAGTTATTACAAATTTGTACCATGGTGCAAGCGTTCAATAGTATTGAGTAAAACCACAGACCAACTGAAAGCGGACTTAATAGTGGGTTTTCCTCCCATAAACGAGAGCTATACCTCAAATGTTACATTTGTTAAACCATACTTAGTCAAGGCTGAGTGTATGGATGGTAGACTCTTTCACTACTTATTGACACTCTGGAGGTTTAGTCCGGGACTAAAGAGGGAACAGCAATCCTGTGTCGTCGACTTCCAAATAACATTTGAATTTAAATCGACATTTCATTCACATCTATCAAATTTATTCTTTGACCAAGTCGCTAGACAAATGGAGGGGGCTTTCATAAACGAAGTTGGAAAGAGATTTGGCCCGCCTACAATAATGCCTAGAAATTTACTGCAGAATCCTCAAGCGGTGAAAAGTTGATGATACATGATTATGAATTTAGCCAAATATTATTTTATGATATTAAAATAATGTGATGTTATATTATTTATGTGGAAAAAAAGCAGAGCTTTTTGTTTTTGTTCTTAAAAATAAACAGAGTTATTATATATTTTGTATTATTGTGTTAATAATAATAATATTATGGTATATGTTAATTCCTCAAGTATTGAAATTTTACTTGAATAAAAGATATTGTTAATAAAACGCAATGTTTTAATATATTTATTACATTTGTCCACACTGTGATATAGTTACTGGTATTTTGGGTTTATTGTTTGGTCCTGTGGGTACATTTTCAATTTTCCTCATGACTAATAAACCGTCTATAACTCTTCCAAACACAACATGCTTATTGTCTAAGAAATTACACTTGGCACATGTTATGAAGAACTGGCAGCCGTTAGTGTCTTTCCCACTATTTGCCATTGATAATAATCCTGGGGAATCATGTTTCACTACGAAGTTCTCATCAGCAAATGTACTTCCTCCATAAATACTCATCACACCTGTTCCATCACCCTTAAAAAGATAAAGATTATTTAGTGGAATTATTTTTTGAGTGAAAACTGTTATTAATTTGTTAAAATCATCTAGAACATCATTGCATGTCATGTCTGAGTCAATAACTAATTGACATTACAGTAGGACCTCGATTATCCGGACTAATTGTTGTCGGTAGGCATCCGGATAATTGAAAGTCCGGATAATCCAATGTATGAAGAAAAACGGGCTTTTTGCATATGTACATATGTAGTCAGTACCACACATATGTAATGTTAGGTGTTTAATTAAAACAACAAATACATATGAGCGAAAATCAACGTTTATTAAGAAATTGTACATAATGTACGTATAATTTGCTTACAATAATTACGTATGTATTTGGTAATTTGCATTAGGTAATCTTGAAATACAAATAAACTACCACACAATAGTCAGTGGTGGCCCAGTGGTTAAAGGCCCGCCTCTCGTTGCCGAGGGAGCGGGTTCGATCCTGGCCCGGGCCAATGTGATTTTTCCGAATCATATGTACTTTCTAAGAGTATTTAGACATCACTGATTAAAGTTGATTCCCAAAAAGAGGATTGATGTCAGGCAGGCGGCCGGTCGTAAAAACAAATAGCCAAAACTATTCACATCATGTAAGGCAGACCCTGGCTATAGCTGGGAAATTGCCAGGAAGAAGGAGAAGAAATACAAATAAACCACGAGTGGCGTGGCGTTATGCAAGTTCTGACATGTTAATATTAGAATAAACTCATCGCGATTGGCAGTCCGGATAATCGCGAATTCGGATAACCGAGGTCCGGATAATCGGGGTCCTACTGTATTTTAAACATTTGGTTATCATAACAAATTTAATCCAATATTCATTCGCTAAAACTAAAAACTAGTATTCTTAAAATTGCAATTAACATAATAATTTAGTGTTTTGAAACAAAAAACACCTACATTAACAAAATCTCCCCCTTGTATCATAAAGTCTTTTATTACTCTATGAAAAGTTGCTCCTTTGAAACCAAGTGGAACACCATCTCTTCTGTATTCACCTGTGCAGAATTCTCTAAAGTTTTCACTTGTCTTTGGTACAACATCAGCAAAAAGTTCAAATATCATGCGGCCAATTTCCTAAAAATATAAATTTTGTATGTTATGTACACCACAGTTAGTATTAATATGATTAGTAAGAATAGGTTTTGCTTCTATAAAGAAAATTTGTTTCTGTATTTAAATGATAAGTTAAACTTCCAAGTTTGAATTAAAGTATAGCTAAATAATTTGGATGTTGGTAATTAAATAAAATTTATCTAAAGACATTTTATAAGTAAAATTTAAAAGGTGTTCATAATACTTACAGTTGTGCCGACTGTAATATCAAAGAATACAACTGGATTATTTGGATTTCTGAGTTGTGTTTGTATTTGATTCCATGTAGGCATTTTGACAAAATGAAAATCTAAGCTAACCCTAACTGCTAAAAAATGCAACCTCTTATTTTAGTAACAAAAAAAATCATTAAAATGAGTGTATGTTTAGACGCTTTATAACCTATCATGTAATAATAACATTGAAGTTTGTCCATATACCAAGATTGCCAATAGTTGACAAGTGACAAGAAGTGACTTATTATATTTTTAGGCAATAACAACGACTGTAGTTTAATACTCAAAATTAGATCAATTATTTCTCTTAACTATTTTGCAACTCTTCTAAAACTTCTTCATCGTAAAAATATATATTTTTTTAAATAGTACTGTTCAACTACAAAATTAAATCAATTTAACTTTTGAATACCTTAATGAAGTATATAAATATGCATTATTTTAACTGATAATTTAAGTTTAGAAGGTCTAAAACCACTTACGTTGTTTAGTTTCAATACATAATACTTAATCCATATTCTCGTAATATTTAAATTTTTCTAAGAACTTGCAAATTTTTAACCGAGACCGTATTTGTATCGCGTCATTTGCAACCATAATTATTAATTTTATTGTTAGAACGAAGTGCTTTAATATACTTATTGTCATTTATAAATACAAATTTAAAAATGAATATTATATTAATTTTATTTTTATTTGAATGTTCTTATGCTCTAAAAACTAAACGATGGTATGTTATTATGGATACTGATCTTTTCAGGATTTTGTAATGTCGTAATATTATGACAGTTGCAAAGTGTGACATTTAATAAATTATAGTACACATATCAACTGTGGCGCGTCACTAGCACTTCGATCTGTCATCGGAGGCGGGAGAACGTTCTCTTGAGTTGTGTATTTACTTACTGATAATTTGGTGGTTTTATTTATAATTCTGAGATATAAATACAGAACATCACATTGGCGACGAGTAAAAAGCGCAGTAAGTAAATTATGTACCTGTAAATAGAATTTCGGCCAACAAAAGTTTAAAATTTCACAAAGTTTTGAAAAAGGAACAAAAAGGATTTTAAAACAACGCAATGAAAAATTACATATTTACATATGGTTTGATTTTTATGCTGCGTAGATGCATGAATAAGTTATTATATGTTAATTACCGATATATCCATTTGTTGAAAATACGTCAGTCGTATAAACAAAATTAGTATGCGTAATATGATTTCCTCTAATTGAAATGTAAACATTATTAAATAATGCTCCCTGAGTATTTACTGTTTGAATCTATTTTTTTTTCATATTATTTACATTCAAAAGAACCATACTAATAATACACTAGCAAATGCGTTGTTTGAAAATACTTAACTGAAATTACTACAACCTATATGTATTGTTGACCAATTTTATTTACCAATACCTATCGAATATACAATTCGATCAAGTAACCAAATGTTCCAATGAATATATTTCATTAAGTACCATCGAATATATAATTCGATAAAATAATCAAATGTTTCCATGAATATATTTCATTAAGTACCATCGAATATATAATTCGATAAAATAATCAAATGTTTCCATGAATATACTTCATTAAGTACCATCAAATATACAATTTGATAAAATAATCAAATGTTTCCATGAATATATTTCATTAAGTACCATCGAATATATAATTCGATAAAATAATCAAATGTTCCCATGAATATAATTCATTAAGTACCATCAAATATATAATTTGATAAAATAATCAAATGTTTCCATGAATATATTTCATTAAGTACCATCGAATATATAATTCGATAAAATAATCAAATGTTTCCATGAATATATTTCATTAAGTACCATCGAATATATAATTCGATAAAATAATCAAATGTTTCCATGAATATATTTCATTAAGTCCATTGAATATATAATTCGATAAAATAATCTAATGTTCCCATGAATATATTTCATTAAGTACCATTGAATATATAATTCAATTAAATATGTAACTAAATGTTCCGATGAATATATTTCATAAAGTACCTGCTTTAACAAAAAGCTAATCAAGTTTGATTCGATCAAATGAGACCCTATAAGAATAAATAATACATTCTTTATACATATGTCTATCGTTATACACTAACTGACTGTTTTAAAACCATGTGGAAATTAAATATAATGAGATAACGGTTTCAAGTTAAAAATAATTGTTGTTGTCACAAAAAGAAAAAAAAAATAATAATAATAATAACACAACATACTAAATAATAATTATAATAATAATTTTATTTATTTAGGCATCTTTGACCCATCTTTTTCTTTTAAGTACACATTTTCCTTATACCTATGTTAGTAACAACTTAATTTATTATAAATTTACTATGAAATTACATTTACAATCAAAATATTATCCAATTAATAAATAATTCAATTTAATTAGTATTAATTAATTTAATTACTATACAGTTCAAATATTAATAAATTTTAAGCTTTAATTTTTAAAACATATTTATTAATTTCATAGTTTTAATTGTTTATCATAGTGATTAAAGTAAACAATAGTGATTTATTTATTTATAATAAAAAAAAAACAAACCTGTTATTCACTTAATACTGACTGGTATATAAAAATAATAATATAATACTAAAAAACTTGAAATTCTGCACTACATTAATATACTAAAGAGGTTTTCTTTTGACCTCATTTGCAGATCATCCAACATGTCCCTAACACAAGTCCCAACAATAGAACCATTCGATTGTGAAGGTGATCCAACCTCCTTAGGCTCGCGTTGGGAGAGATGGAAACGTGCATTAGAAATTTACTTTGTAGCTACAAACACAAATGATCAAAATAAAAAACGTGCAATTCTATTACATTCCGGAGGCATATCATTACAAGATATATATTTTAACATACCTGGAGCTCATGTTACTGACAAGACTGACGGTTATGACATTGCAGTAAAAAAGTTAGACGATTACTTTTCCCCAAAGCAAAGTTATTTGTTTGAAAGGCATATATTTCGTTTAATGAAACAAGAACCAGACGAAAAATTCGAAAAGTTCTTGATTCGGTTAAGACGACAAAGCTCAAAATGCAACTTTGCTAACGAGAATGAAAATCTTATAGATCAAATAGTAGAAAAGTGTAGCTCCACCAAACTAAGAAAAAATATTTTGATACTTGGTGACACGGCAACAATAGAAAAAACTATTACAGAAGCAAATTCTTTAGAAACTGTAGAAAGACAATTAAATGAGTTCCACGATAGACAAAACACTAGTTCCAGTATCAATAAAATAGATACTAAATCAAACAAACGTTACATTAAAAAAAAATTTAATCTAAGCTGTACCCGATGTGGTAGTAAAAACCACAAAAGTGATAATAGTTCCTGCCCTGCAATTAATGCTAATTGTCTGAAGTGTGGCTTCAAAGGTCACTTTCAGAAGCACTGTAAAACAAGGGCCAATAAAAGAAAAAATACTAATTTCCGGTCGAATGACAACAATATAGCTAAAAAGTATAAACAAGATACACCCAAAAATAAAGAGCCTACATCTATAGACTACATATTTCACATCGATGATGATGGAACTGTTGACTGTCAGGTAGGAGGGGTAAATATCAAAATGCTCATAGATTCAGGTAGTAAATCTAATATAATTAACGATACAACTTGGGAGTACATGAAAAAATCGAATGTTACAGTTTCTAACCAACAAAAATATTCAGACAAAACGTTTCTAGCCTACGGTGCTAAAGAACCACTAAAAGTGCTAGGCTTATTTGATGCACAAATAAAAGTGTGTTCAAAATCAATAACTGCAAAATTTTATATTATAGTAAATGGTTCCAAAAATCTTTTGGGTAAAGAAACTGCTCTCTCCCTTAACTTGTTAAAATTAGGTTTTGATGTAGTAAATTCAATTGAACAAAAACAATTTCCCAAGTTCAAAGATGTCCAATTAGAAATTACTATAGACAAAACGGTTCCTCCAGTTTGCCAACCTTATAGACGAGTTCCTATTCCTTTGGAATCTAAGATAAATAAAAAAATCGATGAACTGGTAGAATTGGACATAATTGAACCTGTAAACAAACCATCCTCTTGGGTTTCTCCGATGGTACCGGTTCTAAAACCTGATAATGATATTCGTATTTGCCTGGATATGCGACTTGCCAATAAAGCTATCATCAGGGAAAATCATCCCCTGCCCACGATAGAACAATTAATTCCTAAATTTGGTAAATCAAAACTGTTTTCAAAATTAGATATAAAAAATGCTTTTCATCACGTGGAGCTTAAAGAAAATAGTAGAGAAATTACAACTTTTATAACTAGCAAAGGGCTTTACCGGTATAAGAGATTGATGTTTGGGTTATCCTGCGCACCAGAGCACTTTCAAAAAATTATGGAAAAAATATTATTGCCATGTGAAGGAGTTGTAAATTTTATAGATGATATCGTTGTTTTTGGGCGTGATGAAAATGAGCATGATACCCGGCTCAAAAAAGTATTGTCAGTGCTAAAATACAACAATGTCTTATTAAATTCAAAAAAATGTATTTTAAATGCAAAAACTATACAATTCCTGGGTCATGAATTTTCGTCATTGGGCATTAAACCTCTTGACAAATACATTAAAACAATTGAGACATTTAGACCACCGGAAACCATCGAAGAAATCCAGAGTTTCCTGGGATTAGTTAACTTTGTGGGAAAGTGGATCCCCAATCTGTCAACCTTAACAGAACCTATTCGGCAATTATTACGCGAAAAAATTCATAAAAACGCCAATATCACGGCATTTTGGCAAAAAGACCAAGAAAAGGCTTTTGAGAAATTAAAATACTGCCTCTCTAAGATTCCTACCCTAGGTTATTATGATTCGAAAGACCGTACCCAAGTTATGGCTGATGCAAGTCCTGTAGGTTTAGGGGCTGTACTAATTCAGTATGATAACAAAGAACCTCGTATTATTGCTTTTGGAAGTAAGAGTCTGACAAATGTCGAAAAACGATATTGTCAGACTGAGAAAGAAGCATTAGCTTTAGTTTGGGCGATAGAACACTTTCACATGTACTTATACGGAAAAAAATTTGAACTAGTCACAGACCATAAGCCTTTAGAAGTCATATTTGGCACGCGATCAAAACCTTGTGCTAGAATTGAGCGATGGGTCCTTCGGTTACAATCGTATGATTATAAAGTGATTTACAAGCCGGGAAAATCCAATATAGCTGACCCCCTATCCCGTCTGTGTAAAAGTAGTACTAACGAGACACAAACAAGTTCTTTTGAAGACGAACATCATATTAACCAAATTGTTCAACATGCGCGACCCACAGCATTATCTCTTAAATCAATAGTTGAAGCATCGAATGATGACGAAGAGTTCAAATTGATTAGGGACGCTTTGATAAAAAACACGTGGGATGTTTCAATAAATCATTATAAGATATTTCAACATGAACTCTGGTTACATGAGGGTGTTTTATTAAGAGGGAACAAAATTGTTATACCAACTAAGCTGAGAAAACAAGTATTAGCAGCAGCCCACGAAGGCCACCCTGGTATTGTTAACATGAAAGCTAGATTGCGCACAAAGGTTTGGTGGCCAAAGATTGACAAAGACGCCGAAAATACTGTAAAAAACTGCAGAGGATGTACATTAGTCTCAGCCCCAAACCCACCAATACCCATGAAAAGGCGGGAACTTCCTTCGCAAGCTTGGGTAGATACGGCTATTGATTTTTTAGGTCCACTGCCTAGTGGGGATTATCTTTTAGTAATTATCGACTATTACAGCCGATACAAAGAGATTGAACCTATGAAATCCATTTCCGCTCACGACACAATAAAAGTCTTAAAAAGAATATTCGCACGGGCAGGAAATCCTGCTAGTATAACAGCCGATAATGGAAAACAGTTCTGTAGCCAGGATTTTAAAAAATTCTGCACTGAACAAGGCATAACACTTTTCAATACAATTCCTTACTGGCCACAGCAAAACGGGGAGGTAGAGAGGCAAAACAGGGATATACTTAAGCGATTGAGGATCAGTCAATGTGAAAAATCTGATTGGAAAGATGATTTATTAAGTTACTTAATGATGTATAACAGCACACCTCACCCTTCCACAGGAAAAACCCCGTCCGAATTGTTCTACGGAAGACAGTTCAGAGACAAGTTACCTTTTTTAACTGACCTTGAAAATAAATATGATGATTCCGAAATAAGAGACCGAGATAAAGAAAAAAAAGAGAAAAATAAATTAAATGAAGACAAGAAGAGGAAAGCTACAGAAAGAGAATTAGAAGTTGGCGAGAAAGTCTATGTAAAGAATGTAATGAAAGAAAATAAATTAGCTTCTGAATTTAATCCGACACCGCATACTGTTGTCAGTGCCGAGGGAAGCGACATAAATGTCAGGAATGACGAAACAGGCCAGGAATATAGGAGAAATATAGTTCACCTCAAGAAAGTAGAAGGTCAATGGAAAGTAATTGGTAATGAAGAAAATTCTGATAAAGATATTTAGTTAATAACAGATAAATTTAAATGGAAAATATTGTTTTGTTGATTTAAATGAAAAATATTGTTTTGTTGATTTAAATAAAAATATTGTTTTGTTGATTTAAATGAAAAATATTGTTTTGTTGGTTTAAATGAAAAATACTGTTTTGTTCATTGAAATGAGAAATATTGTTTTGTTGATTTAAATGAAAAATACTGTTTTGTTCATTGAAATGAGAAATATTGTTTTGTTGATTTAAATGAAAATATTGCTTTGTTGTTTCTAAATAATTGTATTTAAAATTGAAATAACTTGTGATTAAAATAATTATTTAACATATAAAAAGGAAGAGATGTGACATTTAATAAATTATAGTACACATATCAACTGTGGCGCGTCACTAGCACTTCGATCTGTCATCGGAGGCGGGAGAACGTTCTCTTGAGTTGTGTATTTACTTACTGATAATTTGGTGGTTTTATTTATAATTCTGAGATATAAATACAGAACATCACACAAAGTAATACTTTGCATGTACATTGAGGTTAAGATGTTTTTTATTTATATTTTTTTAATATAAACTGTTGATGGGCATCTTTTTTCTTGCATACGATTATGATAAATACTTTTTATAAAAAATGGAAAAAGCTGAGAACTTTATAGATTATTATGAAGTATTGCAAAGTGAAAAATCTGCATCACACGAAGAGTTAAAGAAAAGCTACCAGCGTTTAGTACTAGCTTTTCATCCTGACAAAAGTGGTAATGCGGAAGACGAAAAGTTTCATCTGATTCAAAAAGCGTGGTCAGTGTTGAGGGATCCCATTTCTCGCAAACAATACGATGCAGAATTATCTTGTTATGAAAATACTGATCTTTTACTCTACGACACAATATCTTTATCAGATATGGACTTCAATGCTACAGAAGAACTGTACTCATATCAGTGTAGATGCAGTGGCATTTATTACTTAGATGCTAGTGAACTTTCAGAATCTTCATTTGAAGTTATCATAAGTTGCAATGAATGCTCATTTTGTGTTAAAGTAAATAAGAAATAGTGTCAGTATATGTAATAATTTATCTGTTATAATTTAGAACCTTTCATGTATAATTTTATTTAATAATAATCTTAAACTTATTTTTCATAAAGATGTAAAGATTTTTTACATAGAAAAGTCTGTGCTGTATTCTGTGATATTTAAAACAATAAATTTATATATATTGAAGATATTATGGTTTAATTATCATAGTTCAATAGAAATATAAATTAAACAAATACATTTCTTTCCCATATGTTATTTTGAAAAAAAAAATGAGTTAAAAGAAAAGGATTGTGATCTGTATGTGGCATTGTAGCTTGTAATATGAAAAGATACATTGATATGATTATTTTTTCTGTAGGTGATGTGATAGTTTTTTATATAAAATTATTAAAGATTTCTCTAGTCATTAATTAAATCTCATTATGCTTGACAAAGCTGTCAGCAGCTAAGTAAACTATACTAAATGTCCCTGATTTGTTTTGAAATTAACTGTTACTTGCGACTGCCTCTATATCTAACAGTCTTTATGATAATTTTAAGGTTTTACTTCATTTCTTCTCCTGACCTAATCCTGACTTTTTGACAATGGAATTACTGTAGTACTGTAGTACATCTTTACAAATAAGTAGTATATATTTTTTTATTTCAAGTATTTAAGGAAGTAAGTCTTTAATTGAAAGAGTAAATAGTGATTTAATCATATTGAGAACTATACCCTTTTCACAGTGCATTAAAAAGGTGCCTAAAACTCCTCATAATATTATTAGCCTTAAGGAATATTCCTATCAAAATCTGCCCAGCCTGATAAGACAGATGTGCAAACATGATTTTAACATAGGTACTATCATTTTGTTTTATCTTTCATGTGATTTAAGTAAAAAGCCCAAATCTTGGAATACCAAACAAGCACTTAAATTTTTATTATTAGATTTTACTAGATTACAATTGCTGTTCCATTTTCTCATAGATTATATTGTTACTAAATACTATTTTTTATTTGCTTAACTTTTCCACTTATTTAATTAAAAATATAAAACATGTATTCAATTTACTCCAATAATGTTCTACCTTATCACATTTCCCTCTATCCTGTTCACCAGTATCTTGAAATTCCATGAAATTTTTGTTCATACACACAAAATAGAAGAATTATCTTGATGTGCAACTGTTATAGATTTTATTTTACTGAAAATACAAATATGCTCTTGGCAGTAAACACAAAGTTTCAGATATTTCAAGGACCACCTTTCCTGGTTCTACTTTAATTCGCCCTAAACCTCATCTGATTGACTTGAAAACTCTGTAGGGACACTATATGTAAATTCAAATGTTAATTAGAATAAAATTCAGTTACTGTGACTTAAGAAAAGAAATAAAATTTTTAGAAGCTTATCTTGTTTGCATTTTAAAGATAAAATTGTCTTTTTGGAAAACATATTTGTTTGTGTGTAGTTGATGTAAAAATACTAATCCTTTTCATATAAAATGCTTTTTAATATAACAGAGGATGCCACTTGTCACTACAATTTCAAGTGTTTATCAGTTGTTGAACTGGGAAGCTGAGATAAATATTTACTACAATGAAATTATAACTAGGAAGCTACACTCATATGGGTAAAATATATTTAACAATATTATATATACTGTAAAAAAAACGTAAAAGGATCCAAATAATAATTCAGAATTATTTAAGTAATACCATTTATTTTATGGTTAGGTTACAACATAAATATATTTATGACAATGTAAATTTATCATAATTATGGTTAACTTGTGTGAAAATATTTTAACCCTATACTAAAAATTTTGTACAGCTCTCATTATTATAATATAATTTAAATGGTACAGGCATAGTAGATAGGCTCCGAGGATAGAAATTTCTATTGTGTGATTTCATTTATAGTCGATCTTACATTTTCATTATTCATATAAAAAGATCTAAGCTATCACATATGCATAAAATAATTTCATAAAATCTGCTTCAATAATCAAATAATTTAGTGGCAAGAAACTAAAAATAAAATTATAACCATAAATAAATTTTATATTCTATAGAGAGTGGAGATAAAGTATAGAGAGATACATAGGTTTATATGCAAAATAAAGAAAAGCAATTTGCCATACTATAACGAATAGCAAACTGTTACTATTACAACCTCAGTGCAATGTTTCCCAAACATCGCAGGGTAGCAATTACTTGTCACATAGATGTAAAATAGTTTTACATGCACTCATTGAGATTACATTATTTATAACACCGATTATGTTTGTACAAAACAAACAATATTTATATAGTGGCATACAAAAATATTTACATGATTGTGCACACTTTTGTACTTCAGAATAAGATCCACATAAATATTTAAGTCCGATAGTCTATAACACACTCCACAAGCACTAGCATGAAGCCATACTTCGCAGTGGTCCTCAGCAAAGTCTTACTTTATTCACACATCTGTCCATGAAATTCTTCTTCCTCTTTATCTGTGTAGTAGCGTCTACAGGTGCAGGCAGTGAGAGTTGTGAGTGCATTTTATCATCCGCATCCAATATGCCTTCGAAGCTTCTACACCTACGTGAATTCTCTTGTGATTCCTTGAAGTCTATGTTATCGCTACTTTCAGATAGTCTCTCTGGAAGACTATGCAAAGCTTTAACCGGCGAGTTCTGTGTCGATGTGCTATTGATGTCAGTGAGTTGATCACAGCTCTGTGATTTTGCTGAATTTTTATCCGCCGACGATCGTCTTCGTCTCGGCCTGGAAAGTAATTATTTTATTAAATATGTTAAAGTCGAAAAATTTGCTTTATACTAAAATATTCAAATACTACTCTAGTAATAAACAAACTTGGATTGCATCTAAGATCTAGGAGTTTTAGAATGTCTATCATTTGCTATTGCTGTCATATATCATTAACTTTTTTGCAAATTGTCGGTTTTTGAGAATATTTATTTGCCAAGTGCTACTGGAGAAAATAAATAAGCTTCATATATAGAAATGATCATAACTAACCTGACAGGCGGTAGAGTGTGTGTGTCTAGTCAATCTTTATCACTGCCCCTACTTTCTGTAGAGACCATGCGTTGATAGTTTGGTGGTCGCATGGCCGCTGTTCCGGGAGTGGGCACGTCACGACCACGCAGCGGACCCTCCAGACGAGTTGCCAAGTTAGACTTGCCACGTAGGAAACTGAGAAAAGTTACACAAATTTGTATGAAATATTGTACATATGGAAATTTTTGCTGATATACTTGGGCTATAAGCATATGAAAAGATCATAGATTCGATGTAGTCGAGAAAACTATTGAAATTTATACCTAACAGTCCAAAAAACTGACTAAGCGAATCGTTATTGTACAAATGGACATTTTTGCTGGGTATACTTGGGCTATAGATTTCAGAAAAGATTAACATAGATTTGATGTAGTAGAGAGCACTATTGAAACTCGAATTCAATAGCCTATATGTGTTGACTACCATATTCCTAACTTATTTGAAGTATTACCTTTCAAGTTTCTCGACACACGCGTCCTGGTAATCGTGTATCCATCTGACGCCATTGAAGTGACAAACGGCTCGCATATCCTCTGGTAACTCTTCAGGTTCCGGCCATTGGAAGTTGTCGATAATTGGAACTATATTGCACTGTGACTGCAATGCTGCCACTATCTCCTACGACAAAAAATACACGTTAATCTATAAAGATATTTGTAAATCTCACGCTTTTATTTATAGCTGGCGAGCCAATTTATAAATAGAAATAGAACATTAGTCACGCAACGCTATTAATAGAAGTTGCATAACGGTTATAATCAGTGGAACATTATCATGTTTTTCTCAAGAATTTAGGTGAATTATTTAAATCTTACCCGATGGACCCAGTCTTTCTGTTCATTATCATGTTTGCACCTCTCCAGTGCGTTTGGTGTTAACACTAGAAGGAAATGCTTCGCCTGGCGTATACTTTGGAGGAGATTATTATCGAATTTCCCGGCTTCCAATCGCTCTACGTCTATGAATACAGTGAAACCTCGGAGTTGTAGGTGAACTTTTAACAAACTAGCCAACTGCGAGCCGTTTGATCTTCGGTAACTAACGAAAACGTCTAAATTCTTCTCCATATTCTCTTCGCCTTTGCTAGGCAATGTACTCTCGTAGGCTGAAATATAACAATTAATCGAATTAGTAACATAAATTACTTACAAAAATATTTTATTGGACGATACTGTTGTCCAGTTATGTAAAAAGATAAATAATATAAAATTTCTGAACGTTTATTAGCAATTAATAGAAAATAAAGATGGTGGCCTCACCTCGTATGGCATTTAATATTCGTAGCCGGTGTATACTGTTGCCTATTCTGCATTCATTTTCCAGTTGTTCGTCGCTTAGGCCACGGATTGATTCCTTGTCTACACCAGCGTTCAACATTGAATACGTGTAAATTGTATATTCTGGACCAATGCTCTGTAGAAATTCGTTAAGGCTTCCCGTGTCACGTGAACTATAGTCCGCCATCTTTTTTAATTGCTGAAGCTCTCGCGTGAATCTGAAAATATATTAATTTATGAATTAAAATAATGAAAAATACATTTTTTATAGTTAAGTTTTGATGTTGTTAACAAATAAATACCTTTTACGTTTGATTCCGTTATTTAAACCTATGTCTTCTTTGAGATTTGCCTCAGTTATTTGTAATAAAAGGTCACCGTCTACTCTGCTTTCGTAGAAATTGTTCGCGTATTCAGAGAAGCCTATTTGTTTTACCCATTCCCTAACGTCCTCTATCGACCATAAAGGTACTTGTTGGGACAGTTTATGTGGTACCTCTTCGCCTATTAGTCTTAAAGCCTGCGCTGCGTATTTTGATGCTACAGCATTTGGACAGCTAGCTACTTTCTTTAAGGATTCTATAGCTCCTATTTCTCTGAATATCTCTGTATTCCCTTGCTGTTTTTTAATACCAGCCTCCATACAAAAGTGGAAGGCGGCCAGGTTTCTAGCTTCTTCTCTCTTTGAACTTAAAACTGGTACTAATCTTTGAAGCCAGTTCTTACTCTGTCCGTGAGCGTGCGCTAGGTTTGATCGGGCGAACTCTGATGGGTTGTGTGAAGTGACAAAAGGTTCAACCAGATCTAAGGTTCCAGATTTTAAAACGGCTGCTTCTATTTCTTTGTTCGCTACCAAAACGGCGATGGCCAAACACGCGTAGTATTTGATATTGTCATCGTTGTGGAAGGCTAGTGGGAACAGCCACATCGGTACTTTTCTTTTTATCATTGCTTCCTGGTTCTCAGCGCCGCCGTATAATGATAAGTTTGCGAGAGCTGTTGCGCAATGCCTTAGAGTTTCCACGTCATTTTTTCTACATTCAAATAAAACGGCGTCCAAACCACCTAGTTTGATAACATCACTGCAAGTGCCTTCGCTGTGTTTGAACAAATGCTCCAAAATCCCAGTACCTATTCTTGAGTGATCGACTGAATTCGAATGTTTCGTGCACACACAGGCCACGTTAACGACTTTTTCGAGACCATTTTGTACTACATGATCTCTATTCTCGGTGGTAAGACATTGCTCCAATAGTTTAGCGGAACAGAATTGGAGATCCGGGTTATTAGATTCCAAGCAATTCGCCATTAAAATATCCAACCCACCAGATGACCTTAGCGTATTGCACAACGAGTATCCCAATTCATGGCCATATGTCGGAACAGCCCATGCTCTTTTGACCATCTCGTTTAACTTCATGAAGTGTACGCAAGCGTTTTTCATGTCTATCTGATTATTTTTTATGGCCGTTATAAAAGCGTTCATCCTGTGTGAATATTTTTGTATCGCTAAATCAACGTCCTTCTGATTCGATTTAGCATCCAATTTGTCTAAATCTTCGAATGTCAGGTTGGATAGATCTTCATCTCCCGGTTTCACTGTTCCATTCAACAATTGACTCATCTGGAACGACAAAACGATATTATAAAATTATTTTTGTAAATTCACACCTACGTCATAACTATGGCTGGTTAGCGACGTTTTGCTACATGACCTTATTTGGCACCATTATCTTTTACACGGCTAAATAAAGTGACAATAGGTTTTTGAATTGAATTAATTTGTATACAGAGTGAGGAAATATTGTGAAATTTTTATTATACAAATATATCTTACTTGAGATGATAGTAATGTTGATTTAGTGCTAAGATTCTTGCTGGATATGGTCATGTTTGAGTGAGCGACGCTGGAATGTTCTTTGTGACTGAAAATTCCACTTGAAGTGACCGTTTGTCTCGCCTGTGATGATGCCATCGCCTTCTTCTCAGCACTGAAAGCCTCCGTCTGTAGTCTCGAACTGGTCGCGGACATATTATTCGCCTCCTGCGCTGACACTTCCCCCGCTTGTAGAGAACGCTTTTCCTAGAAACACAAGTTTATTTATTATTATTATTGTTAACACTCAATAAAATCATATCGTGGAAAGTTTAACGCGTGACTAAAGCCCGGCTTATCACGAGATCGCTTCTGTTTTTAAACTCACAACACTGATACATTATACAAACATTGATAGTTACGGGAATTATGATACGCAGTTTAGGTCTCATACGCCTTTTAGAAGACATTATTATTTGTATGGACGTTATGAATCCGTTGATTCTCGGTCGTCTCGAGATGAAAACTACTTTTAAATTCAAAAGTATCGTACGTCATAGCTCCGAGTGTGTGGTGAATCGTTTCTATTGGATATAGGCCAATGCGCGTTACTCGCGGGCATTCGATGATAATTTTAAGTTTGTATACACACGTCACGCGGATGTAGATGGTCGAGTATATTATATCGTGGAAAATTGACTCTCACCGAAGGATAGGTCGGCTTGGGGGGGAAACGCGACAGGACGTTTCTGTGTACCGGCCACGGGGCCGAACCCGCGCCGTTAGACATTCCGTATCTATATTTAAAGCCGTCTATTCGTGTACTGAGAGGCGCATGCGCAATAATTAACTTCCGCGTGCTGGCACGCACGGCGGTCAAACGATGACTGACACAAGCATGGTGCGGTAAACGATAACCGCTGTGAGATAATGAGCTCACCGCCCCCGGCGAGCCGCCGCGACGGAACATCCTACTGGTCCATGCGACTAGACGAGAAGCCATGCTCCTACCACGACGTCTCAAAGAAAATATCCACACTTGAATCGTGTTGTTTCGATTCACATTTTTATGTTATCAAGTCAAGAAACAGAATGCGACTGAACGTTTTCGGCACTGTGGCCGATGCTAGACGTCAGTGAAGGATATCGATCGCGACCCCGCACGCGAGGTCGCGTCCTTCGGCGCGCCTTGCAGGCGTCTCATGTCCGACGTGCATTGTATTAGATAGTTTGATCGATTTAACGAAATAACGCATGGTATATATTATGACATATATATTAAATACTAGCTTTCCGCCCGCAGCTTCGCCTGCGTGGAGTTCGGTTATATCGCGTTTAAAAGAGAACTTTTCAAAAGTTTGGGATAAAAACTCTCCTATGTTCTTTCTCAAGGTCAACTCTATCTATGTACCAAATTTCATTAAAATCAGTTCAGTGGTTTAGGAGTGAAAGCGTATCAGACAGACAGAGAGAGTTACTTTCGCATTTATAATATTAGTAGGGTTTATTTGTATATATTAATACTGAGTAAGATATTTTACTTACTTGATGATAGGCAGCATTCTGTTCAGCCGTAAGACCCTCGGCTTGTAAGAGTCTGTGGGACGCTCCTGCTGCGCTATGTTCAGCGTATTGCATGTCTCCATGCTGCAGACGACGCATCCTGGTGCTATTTGCTGCTGATTTAGAGGCACTGTATCCATCGGTCACTACACGAGTCGAACTGGCCGATGTCATTCTAGCTGCACTGTATTTCAATTCGTTAGCAGCGTTCGTACCAACAGACGATGAGTTCGGAGCCAGCAGACACTGTTTGTCAGGTGGTGGAGTGTCTGATTCTGGGAAGGTGACCAGCGGCCCGTCGCCGGCCAGGTCGGTCATGTCACTCATGTCTCCAATATCACCCATCTCACTCAGATCACGGATATCTGGTATATGACGCTCCTTCATATCGTCCTGATCCACTATATTCTCCATCGAACTTCTCAATCTGTAAGCAATTGTAGATAAATGAAAATAAACTATATTTAAATCCTATTTAATATTGGGGAGCTAGAACGGGACTATTGCCATTGTTTGTCGGCTTTCAACTATTACAAATGTGAGGAGGGAAGCTAGAGGGGAGAGTTGGCAGAGGGCCAAGGCCGCTCAGGTGAGCTACAAACGGTGTTATCTTTTAAACACATTGAGAAAACAATGTTAAAATTTGGTATTACATAAAAAGATTTACGAAAATAATACTAGTGATTAGTGAATCACCTCTGTCCGAAGTTGAGAGCGGCGGTGTTGCTGAGAGTTTTCATTTCAGAGATGGAACTCTTTAGTTCTGTGAGGTCAGACTTCATGGAGCTGGCGCGTTGTGAGGAACTTTGAACCCTCTGGCTGGTCGCCGCACTGCTTGATGTGGTGCTCGATACCATCTATAGAAAACGGATCCATTTTACACTACACACAACAAATACACCACTAAAATCTCACGAAATATTTCAATTTAATTCTGACCTTTGCATTATAATTTTTAGACAATATAAAATGTAATAACTGTGTACAATTCACGAAACAATTATTGTACGCTTCGTCTTCCACAGCCGTTATCTAGACAAGGACTGAAGTTCAGTGCCAATGCTACAGCAGTTCGAGCTAGCGTCACTTTTTGGCGCACTTACTACTAAATTAAATGTAACTAGCTGTGTATATATATTGTATTTCATAAAAATAGCAATGGTCGAAAATAAAAATAAACTATTTTTAGACACAATACATATCATTGTTATTTTTAAATAATTCCATTATGTGTCAGACTGTTGTATTTAGATGGAATTTTCTAGAAATAGATATAAAAACCAAAGTTATGATGTGAAAAAAACCGTTACGTTGTCATACTGTATATATTCTTTTGGCATGTACTGTTTTGAATGAGAGGCAATATGTGTGATTCATATGAGTAGGTGGAGATGCAATGATGGCCTTGAACCGATTACAACAAATGTTGATTGTTTTTATTTTGTTTCACACATTAAAAATAATAAACCTAACGTTTTACTTTACAATATTTAATACCACTACTAATAATGCGAAGGAATTGTTAAATATTTCGTAACACTTCATCACTACACCAGTAAAACCTAATAATAACTCAATCATTAAATCGGATAAACTTAATTATTTATAGTCTTGCAATAACAATAATAAATCCTTTGTGAGCGCATAGTCATTAAAATGATTACAGTGACTGATTGTTAATATTATATAATAAATGATAAAAAAAAATTCATGCATTTGCACAATATATTTATTATGTTCACGTCATTATTTCAAATGCAAACCGATTAATAATGACATGAAAAAGTTGAAATCTTTTTATTTAAAACACAACACAGTATAGTAAATATAATTTTATATGTGATGTGTTCCTGGTAGTTTTAATTTATGTTAAAACGAAATAAAATTTTCGAAGAACCCGCATCGACATCTTATCATCACTAAATTATTTCTACTTTTAGGTACTTAAAATTCTGTTAACCTTAAATGGTTTTACGTTTGTCTAACAGAATATTTATATAGATTATTTTTTAAAACATTCGAAGAATAATATTTCTCGATGGATATGTGATAATTTTTTAGGTATTGTTCAAATTAAAGAATGTCTTTCATAGGACAAAACCCGAGATTCCGTCCTACGTTAGTTACGCCGCGTCTAGGTGTTTGCTGTGGCTTCCTGCCAACTCAGACAGTGTGGGCATGCGCACGCGCAACAATAATTACTAGCGGATTTATCGTAAACAGACCCCACGTTCACATACAATTTTTAGTTTTACAGCAACAAAGAAACTAAATCACGTCGGTATTATTCTTTTTCTAAATGTAACCAGTTGTTAAATAGGCAGATGTCTAAATTAAATTTAATATAGATTTTTTTTTGATCCATTATCTTAAACAATCTAGTATTATTAATTGTAAAGATGCCCTATCAAAACCAAGCCCTGTTTCATGTATTTTCGTTTCTTTTTGGAACCAGAGTCGAATTGAAAATAAACTAGCAATTTTATGAACAGACCGAGGCCGAAGCATAAATAACTGACGTTCTATATTTAAGCACAAATTATTTTTGTATGTTTTATTGGTTTCCATATAACTAGGATTTGATAAATTATTATTTAATTTATTTCACATTAGAACGTTTTAGTGACAGTCGACCTTCGAAATTTCGTTACAAAATGCGTTAAGCCCTATGATTACATTGCTCGGTCGCAGGTTCGCCTTGATCTTTTAAATCTTAATCATTTTGTGTTAAACAAGATTTTACGCATGTCAAAAGCGATAGATTCCTCGTATATCATTACTTGATTGGTTGAGTGTTTGTATTAAATTATATACCATAGTGTTCATAGCGATTGTGTTTACTATAATAATAATTACCGAATAAATAACGCGACTGTTTATATATATTTGCATCTTATTTAAAATTACTGAAGACATTAAGAAACTATGAGGAAATATTAATTATACTTTGAAAAGATGTAGGTGAGATATAACGATACGAAGAATGAACGGTTTTGTAAACAAAGTTGTATATTTTAAGAAATCATTCATTAGTAAGATTACGATTTAGATGTAAATAGTAAATACTGTAGATATAATATGAAGGTAAGGAAGGCAACATATAAGTCAAACAAAACAACTTTAGTAACGAAAATGATTTTGGTCACTCTACATTTAATTCATATTTTTGTGTTTGAACTTTTAACACAACCACGTTGGGAGATTGATCTAATTATTGTATATACAATTAAATAAATCCAGTGTCATAGTGAAAACAACGTGGTCTGTGGAATAATATTGAGTATCACATTTTTATATCAAGTCAAACGTTGTGACTAGTAGTATAAAGTAATTATGAAAACATATAATTTCAAAGTGGTTTTCGGAAGAATACCACAATATATATTATTTTATGTTATTATTTTTACTATTAAATGAAAAGTTCGGGATCTATCGTGAATAAAAGAGTAAAAAGTGTGTGTGTACCATATAGTATGTTGCTTGTTAATGGAAATTTTTATTCAAATTTTTCTAATCAATGATCCGTTTGAAAAGATAGATGAAAAACCTAATAATATGATTTTATTTTTTACTTTTATTTAATTTTATTATAATTAAATTTTTTATACAAATGATAAATCTATTATTTTTCTAGTAAGTTTATATTTAACAACTAAGAATATCTGTTCTCTTTTTTATTCTACTCTTTCTTACTAAATTATTTCCAATAAAACTTTCGTATATTACTTTGAACTCATTATTTTGAGTTTCGTTTGCTCATTCAAGAATCTACGAAGACGTTTCTAATACTTAACGAAGCTAATAGCTTCTAATACTTAATAAGGTAACTTTCTGATATCCCTTAAATAAGCTTGAAAAATAAGATTCCAACTAATTTTATTTTACATTTTAACTTATGACGTCATGATATGATCAATGCTTTTTGCACAGTAACCAGATTTAATGAAAATAATATAAATACGTAAACCAAACATATATTAGGTATATTATACAGTTAAATCCAAGATTAAATGCTTATTTTCAGTTATATGGATATGTTTTTCTGTTTATATTGCACATCTCCGCTCAGGCGTCTCCAAGATTCCAATCTTACAATACAAGTGTGGATCAAAAAAGGAAGCTGGAATATGGGAATGTCAGCTCGAGAATCGAGTACGGCTGCATTACTTACGATGGCAAACGATGTTGAGGAAAAAGCTTATTTATTTTTACTGAACTGAACCAAGAATGGTAATGTTTTGTATGTAGCAAATATAAATCTTAGCTAGAATATTTTCTTTTCGACACCTAGGAATTAGAGTAAAACGTTTTTGGAAGTTGTAATTTTTTTCATTTTGTCCAATGAATTGTTTTCCGATAACATTACGTCTATATGGCAACGTCGGCATTTATTATAATTTAATGACTGAATAAAAATAAATGAAGTAAAAAAATTTTCTTTTTCACTCGAAGGAAAGATTCCAAGCAAAAAAATCTTAATGAGATCTAAGATTTTCGCGAGTACTCATTTAAATGAAACTAATATTTTCGGATTTTACTTTGCGTTTTATTTTTGATTAGAAACTACATACCCCCGACGTTTCGGCTACTTTTCAGCAACCGTGATCATGGGGAGACGAGATGTAGTTTCTAATCAAAAATAAAACGCGAAGTAAAATCCCAAAATATTAGTTTCAACCAAAAAAATCTTGACAACTGGCTTTTGTGTGACGGTAAATAGTTTGAGGTGGACTTTTTTATGATACTGATGATTGTTACCTGCTGCTTAGAGGAGCTGGTGACTTGAGTGTTGAGGGTCTGGTTCTGGCGGGAGACGAGGCTGTTCTTCTTGAGGTTCTCCATCACGGAAGCCAAGTCTTTTGCACTGCCGTTGTGTTTCAGACTGTTGCTGCCATCCAGGTTGAATTCTGGTATCTGTGGGAAATAAAGTAATTTGATATTAAATATACAAATAAATATAATCTCTAAGGAGGCTTTATAACAATTAAATATAATCAATATTTTTTTCTATACAAAATTTTGTCAACAACGTAAAAATTACTACGTATATCTGAAGCTTTTTTAGTTCTTATAATTAATTTGCTCTTGATCTGATAACAATCACTAATCAGTTTCATCTATTAAAAATCCCAAGAAGAAATATTTAATATATCATCATTAAAGCCTTCGTGACAATATGCCCTATATTATATTGCTTTTCTGGGAAAACGTCGGCAGTTGAAGAGTTTATGAATCGCTGTATAATTAAATAGGGTCAAGGAATCCATCTACGTCTATGATTCAATGGTTTCTCCAGCGATAGTCAATATGTAACACGATTCATGGGCTCGGACATAAAACAACAGGGATTGCATGTCGAATACTGATTGAAACGCACACAGAAACAGACGCCAACGCAATCAAGCCAACAATCACTTGACAATAGACAATCAATATATCAAAGGGCATACGTGAGTTTACGATTAGTACACCAAATAATCAATCAAAAGCCGTGAGAATATAGGAATTTGGATTGACATCATCGCTCGAATTATTTATCAAAATATGCAAAAACATAGATAATTTCATATGTTAATTGACTTATGACACGGCACCGAGGATCGCGAAGATGATTATGACGCTGTCTGACGTGTTCAAATGATGTCATGCGTGAACGATTGTTAGGCGTCACACAGCCAATGAAAAAATATCGCACTTTATGTAATAATAGTAACATGCATGTGTGTGTTTGTTTGTTTGTGTGTGTTCACGTAAAGACTAGCGGATGAACTAAGATGATATCCTATTTGAAATCCATGATGTTTCTATGATTTTTAAATGTAGTAATAAACCTTAGTAACTTAAGGATAGGCAAAAAAAGGTTAAAATCTAGATGAAATATATCCATATACATTTACAAGGAACCTTAAAGTGAAAATTACTAGACAAGAATATAGTTTTTATCTAAAAGATATTTAAAGATCTAATCATTTACAAATATTATAACATATTTGAATGTTCGTAAATGATTTTCCTTTTAATAATAATAAAACTTTGAGAAGTCGACAACGCATCGGCAATTATTTTGCAGATGTCTTGGGCCACGGTGACTACTTCCTATCAGTTAGGAAGTCTGTTCGATTGCCTCTTTGGGACATAACGAAATTCACACTTACATGAATACAGCAAGAAAAGTCATCTATACATTCAAATCAATATTAATACATAGTTACATTAACACAACATTCGTGAGATATAGTTTCTTACTTATCTAACAAACTCATTGATAACTCCGTGTCTGCTGAGTCAAGGATGAGTGTTGATACAAAAAAGTTATCCGACATCAAAACAGGTCAATTGTACAAATGACTCATGAGATGTCACGATTCCAGAGACCTTACGAAGGTTATGTAGTAGTTACGTCACAACGTGTGTACCATTCATATGGTTATAGCAATTTTTTCGTCACAGCACACAAACTCACGTGGCTTGCATCACGTATAAATAATATAGGCATTAAATATAAATATTCATTTAAATTAGATTGCTGGTACTCTATTTTAAAGTGACAAATTTACGAAATACATTTATCCCTACTAATATTATAAATGCGAAAGTAACTCTGTATATCTGTCTGTTACGCTTTCACGGCTAAATCACTAAACTGATTTTAATGAAATTTGGAACAGAGATAGAGTTGACCTCGAGAAAGAACATAGGATAGTTTTTATCCCAGACTTTTAAAATGTTCTCTTGGAAACGCGATATAACCGAAGCGGGCGGGCGAAGCTGCGGGCGGAAAGCTAGTACATTTATGCTTTTCTTACAAAATCATAAACTAATGGAAAATAACAGTACATAAAAAAAATTACTTCGATTAAAAAGCTTGAAATTGAATTTCTTATTTGAGTTTATCTTAAGTAGGTTGATTGTTAATAAATATTTTTAGAAAGTCAATAGTTTCACAATAATAGTTATAAGTGATGATAGCAATAGTTTTATTAATAGATTTGGAATGCGATACAAATAAAGGAAACACTCCAATTGAAATGGTATTAGAGATAAGAGTTAATTATTGTTCCACGTAACAGATAACGGAATTCCGTACGATAACTAATTAATAACCGTACAATAGATACGAATAATTTGAAAGTTCACAGAAAACTATAAACAAGGATACTTATTCCCATGCGTGCTCATTACATGAGCTTTCACGACATTCCCTTTATATGCCAACGTAAATATGAATCTTATGCAGTATGGATGAGAGTTTGAAATCGCTTGAATAGAGTTAAAATTCTATATTCTCAGTTAGAACTATTGCATGCATAGGACATAATGATGAAGGTCAGTTCTGTGTGCACCATAGAAATACGATGAGTTATCCGTTATATAATAAAAGCATGTATAAATAAAAAATATTCAACAGAGTAGTGTGTTTTAAAAACATTATAATAAATCCTTGAGTTACATAAGAACGGGTTAAATATAATTTACATACGAGTAAATAATAATAGAATTGTATCTGTAATCAGTTATTACATGTTTATTAGCTACTGACGTGCAATTACTAATGTTTTATCCTCGTTTGTAATGTAAAAAAATATATTAGATAAAATTACACGTAGAATTTGGTATTGTAGGTATTATTTGTTAATATTTGCTAATTTTCTCAGAACATTATAGTAATTTGTGTCTGCAAAAGCCTAGTTAAAACTTCTCTATAAATATTTAGAGGCTATTAAATATATTGCCTACAAATCGAATAGCTAAACCTACATCTTTAAATACTAAATTGAAGATTGATACATAGAAGGAAATGAAAAATTTATAATAAGCAACATAGTTTCTGTAGAACATTTGATAGAAAAAAACCGTCAATAATAATTACCCTTTATAAACATCATTCAGATCAAACGTTAGACAATTTCACTATTTACAATGTGCATACAATTAAAGCTATCTAAATATGTCAACCGCATTGTCGTGGATACGATTTGCGATAGATATACACAATGTCCCATTTATATGTAGTGTTTACCTTGCTTCGTTTATAACGTCTACTATTAAACTCCATTCGATACTGTTACATTATATTAATATGAGAATAGTTCGCTTATCAGCTATTGGGAGCACTATCAAACACTTTCGTCATAACCGCGTGTTACCGGTCGTATCGGTATACGAAACGCGTATTTACTTGACGGCGGTTGAATTGTTACTGGCGTGAGACGTCCTGGCGAGCCGGTCGGACTGCAAAACTTTATTTTAACTAGCGAGTAGCGACCACAATGGCTAATTAGAATGGCGAGCACCACTAGGTGGGGGGAGGAGGGGCCGCCCACTGAACACTGCATCCGCCTCGAGCCTGATGAGCCACCGATCTTATCACTCCGGCCTGGACTCTATCAATATTAGTAGATCACACGTGCTATGATTTACATATGACAAAATATATTTATTTGACAAACAGCTTAAATACGTTCAGTGTGAGTGTACATATATGTATGGTTTAAACTTTTGTTGCCAAGTGTACGTGTGATCAGATGAAAACATTATTATTTGCATATAGTTTAATTAATACGTTTATTTATTATGTGACATAATTATCTTTCTTGATAAAGGTTTAAGTGTGTATTGAGTGATTACGTGTTGTGGAATGTGTGTGGAATTAAATAGCGGGCAAAGGTAAATATTCACATAAACTAGAACAACATATAATAAAATTTCTTTTGACAACATATATATAACAAAAATCAAATCCTTATCAACTGTATATTGTTAAATATACATTAATTTTTATATGAAGGGAGAGCGATGATAATTTCGTCGTTATATGTCAATGAACTCTCAATGTCGAGACGTAACAAGAATCAGCGTGTCGGTTAATTAAAGGAATATAAATATATTATAATTATATGATAAAATCTTATTTCAAAGATAAAATTTATACATACACACACAAATACATATAGTCTTATAGGATTTATTGCTTATTCCTCTTCTTCTTAGTATTTACTGCATTTTATCAGTGAATTTTCTATATTCTATGATAATACCTAATACATATGTTACTGATAAGCCAGCAACAAAGTGAGCCGCATAGTGTGAAGCTGTTATTACAATCTTCTAGTTAATTGGTGTTCACGATACAAATCAACATCCCCATCACATACTGACTCATGCGAATCAGTGACTTAATTTAATAGCATTTATGGCTTACGATTACAACGGTTCATGCATATTCACTAAAATATATGACTAATAGCATTATTCATGCTCGGGTTTACCTTAAATTGATGCGCGTGAGTTCTTTTTTTTTCTTATTTTACGTAATAAACTATGGAGTAATAGAAACTTAAAGAAATAAATAACGTTGTTCATTTAAACATACGATTATTAGTTTTAACTAATTTTAAGTGAGATAGACGAAACCAAATTGAAATATAGGTACTTTTTATTGTAAAAATTCTAGACGACTTAGAATTTTATAACATTTTAATTATGACATTGCAAATATATAGATATCACTATTATAATTATAATTATGTTTTAAGAGAATTTTTATATATTTATTATAATAAATGATCACTGATTGTCTCTTATTAAAATCTTATCAACGATATTAAATCATCAAAAAGTATAACTATCGTCAATTCCATACCAGTTGATTAAGTTTTTTGTTCCATCTATGTATACGTTTTTTATGATCATACTTTCTGTAACATGAGCGTTTCCTTAGAATAATTTATTACATATTATGAAACTTGTTCCGTATTAATCTTATAATTCGCCATATATATTTTTTATGATGCTGTTTGATGTATAAGAAATCGATTTAAATACCGTACACGTCCTGTTTTTATTAATAGACACACAGACGCCGGTTCCTTACTTTAGTTGTTATATTAGCTCAAAAAGAAATATGTAATTCTTAAACAAAAAATACCTAAATATTTCGATAGCTGATGCAATACATACATACAAAAAAATACTATCAAAAAAAAAAAAAAGAAAGAAAAAAAGATAGTAAATATTTATCGCGTTATCAAAACCACTTCCAGGTACACTTCATGACTCCATTCATAGTGAGTGTTGTCACAAAATATTATAGCGATGACAATTACAAATGATTACGTACATGTACATAATCGACGGTAATAGATTTGGAAGTGTATGTAACAACATTATCGCCACTAAATCCTTTGGTATTTGTCATTAAACAATATTGGCGGAAATTTGATAAGGATTTGATATATAATTTATTATTATTCTATAATTTTATCAGTTGTTGCGTAATATTATATCTATAGATTTATATTCCCAAAAGAGGGTTGATGTCAGGCAGTCGTAAAAACAAATAGCCGAAACTATTCACATGTAAGGCATACTGGCTATAGCTGGGAAATTGCCAGGTAGAAGATTATATCTATAGATTTATTCAAAGCAGAGCATATAATTTTTCATTATTTATTTTATAATAATTGAAATATATTTAGAACGTATTAGTTATTGTTTGAGCGTTTTAGGTATTCGTATGAATCATCGACCATTCACGTGGCTGTTATCAGTGGCATAGTACAATATTACGGTGTTGCGATGTTACCTGCGCGTGCGCAGACTGTAAGCTATGAGTCACAGACATCCTGTTCCATCGCACTTTCACGGATTTAATATTCAATAGCCTACATGACCGATATTAACATAGATATGGTTTACGTTATTCTCTTCTTCCAAGAAATAGCGTTTGAGTAACACGTTGAATAAGTTATTAAGACGCTGTAGTTATTATTATTTAAATTAAATTATATTTTTAATTTGGAATGAATACAACAAAATTCTTTTAAGGAATAATTAATTCCGTTAGTCAAATGAGTACATATATAAATTCGCGAATGAAGTTCAAGAAAAACTCCACATAGCATTGCTAACAACCGGTCCACTTAGTAAATGAATCACGAGACCCGTTTTCGATTGATTCATAGTGAAATGTATTTTTTAATACTATTAAAATATATTAATGATGATGTCATCCAATTAGCTAATATTACTATATTATATTAAAACAAAAAAAAGAAAAACAGGTCGAGAATGTATGATAAGCGGATTTGTATGCGGGGTTCACAATACATTGGTTTCCATGTTAAAGAGATTAATATATAGAGAATGGTTCTATTGACCGTTTGTGTTAACGGTAAATAGATACAACAGAGAATTCATAAAGAATTACTTATCCTGCCAATAAATATTGTATATGGTTCAATTTGACAGCACTTTTTATAGCATATTAGACTAAACTTTTCGATCTTTTAAATGAAACTAATATTTTTCGGATTACACTACGCGACTTTGTTCTTTGTAAAAACTACATACTCCCGACGTTTCGGCTACTTTTCAGCAATCGTGGTCACGGATGAAAATTTCTATATTACTATTCATTATACATGTACAAACTAATTATACGGGTGACTGGTGAATTACTATCAATATTTAAGGAGCATACTCGGTACATGATTCTCATTCGAATTATGTAAAAAAAATGGGCACTTAATTTTTGACCAAATTTCCGTATAAATAAATAAAGGGTGGACACGTTCCAAATGTGGACGCGTGCGGCGGCGTGCTGATACAATACCACGCCGCCGACGCGTATGTGTGAGTGTATGTGTATACCTAATCTGTAGGGTGTTCACATGATGCGTAATTAATTACATAACTTTTGGTTAACTTTACTTAGAAGTTTATTAATATTTTATATTTATGTTATATTAATTTTTATTTTGTCATATATGATCGTCAAATATCACGTCCTCAAGTATCGATAGTAATTCACCAGTCACCCTGTATATCTAAATTATGTATAGTATATATTTGTTTATATGATTTAATATGTTTTATTTCATACAACCTTTTTAGTTGTTCTAATCTATTTTCTTTGCAAACAAAGTTGTTGCTACTTGGCAATCATTATTTTGATAATGTAAATGTGATTTACATTAAGTATATATACTTAAGTTCTGTTGTAAATAACTTATACAAGACTATACACATTTTTTAAGATATGTTAAACTAACAAGTAGTTACGGAAAAAATTTAATACGTAGGTATCTCTCTCCTTCTTCTACCTGGCAATTTCCCAGCTACAGCCAGGGTCTGCCTTACATGTTGTGAATAGTTTTTGGCTATTCGTTTTTACGACCGGCCGCCTGCCTGACATCAACCCTCTTTTGGGAATCAACATTAATCAGTGATGTCTAAATACTCTTAGAAAGTACATATGATTCGGAAAAATCAGATTGGTACTTGCCCGGGCCAGGATCGAACCCGCGCCCTCGGCGACGAGAGGCGGGCCCTTTAACCACTGAGCCACCACTGATCCAAGGTATAGTGTATCGTAGTGATCGTAGGTATCTCTATGACTAAACAGTATAAGGCTTAAAAATACTTAGCATATGTTTTTCTGTTGTTTAAAATATATAACTATATCGTCATCAGCCTTTCAGAGCCCACTGCTGAGCAAAGGCCTCTTCTCACATGGAGAGGTTTGAGCATTAATCACCACGCTTGCTCAAGACGGGTTGGTGATTTCAAACTTATAATTGTGAAATTATAAGTCCAGGTTTCGTCACTATGTTTTCCTTCATGTCAGTCAGTGGTGTGAGTGTTTGAATAATATCATAACAATATGTTTATACAAAATTATTATGTTATTTAATTATTTTATAATTTATTATTTAATCTCCGAATTTCATAGATTACAAAATTCTTAAACCCCGTAATGTCACGATTATGAGGCAGAGTGATGGCATTATGGCATTATTTGGTTTCATAGTCTGGGATAATTTGATGCACAGATAAGTGAGAGGAAAAGAGTATTAACACATGTTTACACATATTATAGCGCTCTTACGTTAGTGAAGAGTTTCTCGAATGTTTCAAAACTTTATATACCTACTTGTAAGTTGATAATTAGGATGAGAGGCGGAGATTTATGAAGACGAACAATATAGAACATAATTTACTTTATTTTTAAATGTATAGTTTGTATTGCATAGATAGAAAGAATTCAAATAGAACAACAAATAAAGTTGCCAAGAGTTATACTAAAGGAAAATTTACAAAATATTTTTTCTATGTGGACGTTACAATTTTTATATCGGATTCTATATCAAAATTTTAACACTGCCATTCATTCGTTTCACCTACACCTGACGCATTTAATACTGAGGTGTGTTCCCTACAATCTCTCATTCTCCTCCTATCAGGTATCTTCATATTAATGAAACTAATATTTTCGGATTACCACGCGATTTTTTATTATTAAAAACTACATACTACATATTATTTTCCAGCAAACCGAAACGAACAAATTATAAAATACGTGTAGTAATATGAATATCTTAGTTTCATTTGAATGATTACTTACGAAGCTTAAAATCTCATTAGGTATCTTCCAAATTAGAGATCCGAGAAGGCAAAGGCATACATACTCTTTAATTTTGGAATTATGTATAGCCAGACCTGATAACTGTATAGTTGTTGTCAATGGTAAAACAAGGCATGTTTTTCAATAAGCTCATTTTATATTAAGAAAAAATCTTTTCAAAGATTTATTTTAGATCATTTGTTTTTGCTAGTAACATGTCTATTCATATACACCTATACAGTAAATTATTAATTAAGTATGTGTTTTAAAGGTAGTGGAGAACTGTTTAGATTAAGATGTATTTAGAAATATAAACCGACGATCTTGAATAATTTATAGATTTTTAGAAGACAATGTATTGTTAGATATTTTAAAGTTTGGATGTGATAAAGCTCTGATTCCGAAAGTAAGGACACTTTACAGAGAAAGTTAGTGAAGCCTATTGATCTGAGGTCTGAACAAAAGAAACTGATATATACTGTGACAAAATTAATGTAAGTCAAGAGAACAATTATAATACATATATAGCGTATAAGCCTGTTTTGAATATATGAGCTCGTAGACTGAACTCTGAAGTATACTCATATATTAAATGACACTAAAAGTTTAGTGGACATATTAGAAAGTGCAAAGTGCTTAATTAATATATACTTAAAATAAAATTATATGACAATCAATAATTTTTCTTCCAATGCGTTTCAAGAAAAAAAATAAACGCAAAATATACAGATTGTCTCCATAACAAATGCAGGAAAACTAAATACTTATGTAGAAAGACTATACGAGATGAGGCGAATATTTTTCATTTTTAAACCAATATAAACTTTAATAACTTTGACACGTTATTAATTATTTCATTTAAGAAATAAAAGAAATCATGTATATTGTAGAATTCTTTGTCTGAAAATCGAATTTTCAGTGACAGATTCAACAAGAAATATCTTTTACGCTAGGATAGAAGTTAGGTTTAAGTTTCTTTCTGTACATATAATAACAAATCATTCAAATTACACTGAACCATGTACTGTTTTATAGAAAAATATTTCCCCTTATTTATTTACTTATTTATTAATTATGAATATTAAATAACCCGTCACCATATTCCATCACAAAACACATACCCATCGTGTACTCTTTGTCGTCTTTGTAGGTGACAGCAAGCTTTCCTCTGAACGTACCTGATATTAAACATTAAAAAATACATTACAACATTCTTCTTTAATATACATTAATCTCTTTACTATTTATTTCTTTTTACTACCTACAAGGTTTAGTTTATTACAAGTTATGACTTATATAAACAAATGTATTGATAATACAAACAATAATTTTAGCGATTTCTAAATGAGTAAGCGTCTATACAATTAAATATACAGAATAATTATGATGTCCAAAAATACTTGTAAAATTTCTTTTAAATTAAACCAAATAAAATACAATATTATGCAGTTATCTTAAACTCTGTTAAAGATAAGACTTAAAGCAGGAAAAGATTTGTATCTGTATTCCTTTATCGTTTTAAACTATAACATATTAAAAAAAATGTTTTAATATGAAAGTTAATTTAAAAAAATCTTATATAATTAATCAGCTATGACAATATTCTAAGCCATCTTAGTCACCCAATGTTTCTGAATGGCTGACTCATAAGTTCATTTACCCCTGTGTTTATAGCTAAGTAATTCTTATGCCACAGGTTATGTTTTTAAGTTGCATATGCAACTTGCATGTACGAACTATAATTATGCAGCGTATGCGTCATCCTTGATCACATTGTCAGAACACGCTTGTTATATATACGTGTGTAGTATAATAAATAGTATTTATTATATAAATTATTATGTAAAGATCAGATGACACATAATATTATGTAGTCTACACAAACGAATAACGATGTTTTAATAAACCCATGCATTTTCGCCCACGCTTTAAGCGCATTTTAAATCGCAACAGACCAATAATTTCGTTTCAAGCGGTCAATTTAAAGCAGCTTAAGACAAGCGTGGGTATATGAGAGCTAAGTGTTAGTAGTTTGTGCGTCGCGACATGAGCAGTAGGCGGCCGGAAGCCGAGTGGCGAGTGTTAGAGGACTTCCTACTTAGACAGCTCGATGGACGGAAACGCTATTTTTGGCCGTCGCTTCCTCTGAGGAAAGTCTGCTCATTGAATACAATGCGGGATACAATTACCTTTATCAGATATGACTTTATATAGTACCATTCACTGTACACTTATCACTGAATAAACTAATTTCTAAACAAAAAAAAAAAATAAAATTTAATAACACTCAAACGTACGATAATCCGCTAAATGGTCTTAAAATTGTGTATTACTAATCATCATCTAATTTGTATGATTTGTTCTATAACTAAAATAAACAATATATTTAAATTTTCTCATATCCCCTTTGACAAACAAGACAAAAAAGTAAAAAAAAACTTTAAATTCCCGCTGCCAGGAAGCCCTCGTTGGAATTCCTGACCACATTTTTTCCCATGGATCCACATATTTTACTGTCAGGCATTTTATGAATTCGCGACTGACTCAATAATTTAACCTTTCTGGACGTGCAATACCATTTTATAAGCATATCTGTATACAATTATGTCACAGATACCTATATCATATAATAAATTGTTATATCCCGTTTATGACTTTCACAATGTTGAACCGTGACCCACTTCGATGGTAGCGATTTCAGACGTTTGTCTGAATTAACCCATTGACTCGACGCTGTACCAGATTGATTAGCACATTACAATGTTAAGCATGAGAGGAAATTATAACAATTAAATGCGATTTGTATTGAATGAAGGTTATTACGAAATTCAAAGAGAAAGTAATAAAGTAAATAATGATATTTTTTTACATCAGAGCATTTAAGAGTGCTTAGTATCAGAGCATTTATATGAAAAAATATATTTTATACATATTTTCATTTATAAGGAAAATTTCATTGATAAAAGCAGCCTTTAATATATCGTTCAAATAACAATTAAGCCATCGTGCTTATTAGTATTACGAATAATAAGGAAAAGTTTTGTCAAAACCTATAGGACATTTTGGGGAAACATAAACTAGCGGTATTTGTTGTACATTTATATTCAAATCCTTTTACCAGTACTATACGTTAAAACCTTGTAAATATTATAATGGACTCTATATTCTACGAAATGAGTGCAGAAGTCGGTTAAATCGCGAAGAATATTTAAAAAAAAGCCTTTCCAAGTACATCATTATGTATTTTTTAAATTTTAAACTAAGGACTACTATTAATAATAGAACATAGTTAAAAAACACCACACCAATTGTATTAAACTAAAACCAGTTACCCAGTCACTTGGTATGGCGTGTTTGCATAAAATTAATTAAAAATATAATTTGCATTTACGATTCTAGGGATTAATAATATAAATTTAAATGTGGGACAACAAAAACATCGTTCCAGTTATTCAAGGTTATACATGGTTTTGTCATTGAATTTGAAACCTTGTGTGATAAATATAAGGGTCATAATATTTTTAAATGAAACTAATATTTTTCGGATGTACTACGCGATTTTGATTATAAACTAGGTACATACTCCCTAAGTTTCGGCTACTTTACAGCAACCGTGATCATGGGCAGACGAGATGTAAGATTCACATCTTGTAGTAGGCACATCCGAACAATATTAGTTTCATTTAAATGAATACTCGCGAAAATCTTAGATCTCATCAGAATATTTTTATTTCTTTTTTGTATTATTCTATTTTAATACTAATTGGGTTTTAATATAGAATTATATACATATACATATATTATATACATTGCGTTATCTGAGAGCGGAGCTTTCAAAGGAGAGGAATGTTAAAGCAAATAAAATCTAAATATAGCATCAAAAGGTCCGAATTCGATTGCACATTTGCAAAATATATACAGTTTTAAACCTTTAACCCGTGTAACTAAGATGGCGTTATTTGTGTGAGATGAAAATTTAGATAAATTATTCATATATATTAGTATGCAATTAAGTTTATTTATTATATCAATTGCATTTAAATTTAATTTCAATTTATGTCTTTATGCTAATGATATTATATACTTATTCATCAGTTAAACCTATGTAACATTATACTATATATGTATATAAAAGCAATAATTATATTTTTCCGTTGAATTATTTCCAATTATTATTATTAATTCTTCGAAACAATGGTTATGAAAAAATCATATTTTTTTATATATTTATATCTTTGTGTTATCTTTTCAAGAAAATATATGATTTCTTAGTCTTTTTAGCTTATCACTTAAGCAAAACCCGGCTGCAGTTTCCAAGAAACGCCAAGGTTGGAGGTGTGAATACATGAGAAGTAGGTCAGCAAAGTGGATCATCGCATTTGAATCATATCCCTGTCAAAATGGTTACGTTTTGGGACGATTTTTGTTTATATTCATATTACATGTAGGTATTCATTTCTACTCTAATTAATGTCACATTATATATATAGAAAAATGTATACAATAACTACATATTTGGTCAATAAAGCAAAACTGTCATTGAATTTTATATAAGACTAATATTTCCTGTTGCTTTGACCGCGTACTTGGACGTTCTTACAATAAAAAATACAACAAATTTAATTGTTTTCTATATTGATACGGCAATTATAATAGAAGAAAGTAAAAAAAAATGCATAACAAACGATAAATTTCTATACAAAAATACTCAAATACGTACATATTATTATTAATAATAATATTTCGTGTTATCTGAGACGTCTTGTTTTGGCCATTGATTTCTTATAGAGCCGCTTTGTTAATTAGCATCGTCTCACTCATTTGGCAGACGCTAGAATACCTCGGTCATTATTTCCTGCCCTATTTGGTAACATATTCCTTATACGTAATGATAATTTATTATAAATATTATGTTGGTATGATTGGTATCATTAAGCTTGCAATAATGGCATTTCATTTAACAATATCAGGAAATCGTAAATTTTAGATAAATAATAAATAAAAATAATTACAATACCTATTCAGTGTTATTTAATTGCTTGCTATAATGCCTCAATTTGACGGCCACCTACGTAAACAGAGATTGTGGCTTACAGAATATGGCTAGCGGTTTGTTGTTTCTGTTTTATTGTGGTGTGCGATTAAAATTCCGTCTACATACTAGATTTACCGTGTAAACTCACCTTCTTTGGGAAGAATATTTTCGGTTTTCCCGTATAAGTGGAATAAGATGCCATATTGTCGATTTTAGTTACAACCATAATTCGGTAAACAGCACTTAATGCGGCACGGAACACTAGTTAAAACGAGAAATGTGTTTAAACGATTTCTAGAATTTTCGGTGATCACGAGTTTGAAGGTTAAAATCGGTTAATACTATGTAAACGATCCCTTATTGCACACGCTCTGGGATCACAAAGAAAGTTTCTTTTCGTTTTTAGTCGCAATAAGCTTAAAAGTTAAAATCCTTGAACTATATGCGTCCACGTCACCGACGACGCGATCACCGCTACAGTAGCGCGGATCTATTGTTTGTACAAATGTTTTATTCACAAACAGCAAAATAAATTAATATCATTCGACACACATCAACTTTGAAGTCACATTTTACTATCGCGAGCGCTGTATGATACGTTCATACGTCACACCATCAACATGTCTCTTTACAAACTGAATTTTGGTCTGCTTCAACTGTTGCTTTTATCAATTCAGCCGGCGCGTCCCTCCCGCCATGTTTTATCTCTTTCGCTCTTCACATACTTGAGGTGTGATAAAATGAGATAGTAAATATACAGCGCTTCACTTGTAAAGTACGTTCATTATAAATACGTATAACTCAAATAATATGCACATGACAAGTCCCATACATGTCTTTGTGTAGATAAATAAAATTATTTGTAAGGTAGAGCTAATATTGGATATAATTATAAAAACAGTTAAAAAGTAAAAAAAAAACTGAAATTATTTATTTATAATTCGGTTGATCAATATTTAATCTATTATTATACATAATTAACTTTTTAAACTTAATTTAAAATCATTTCAACTAAGACCTACTCCATAGACGTCGAGGAAAATATTATGTCTCTGAAAGGCTTCTTTTGTAAGATCCATTTGTAAGTGTAATTAACTAATTACGTTCTACGTGTTTCTTTTTAAATCATTAGTATAATATTAATTAATTATGAATTCTTTTGCAATAAAGAAGTGTATCTATTACGAATTACAAACTAAAACACCGTAATTTGCCGGACAACCTTAAATTTGAGTTTTACCTCACTCATGACTGATAACGCATTTAAAAATAAATTGACATTTATATAATTGTACACCACATAAAAAAGGATTGAATATTTTGATAGCGTTGTTTGGTAACCGTTTAGAAAATCAGATATGGAACTTATTAAAAAAAATAAATATTATTAATTACTGATAATTGGCAACAAACTATATGCACGACTTATATAAGGTAAACACAACCCATATACGTGAAGCCATACACAGTTAAATATAAATCTTTTATAAGCGACATTTACTAGAAAGATTATTATATTTGCAACATAATTTGCTCCATCATAAGGACAAAACAACCAACTGCCATATTATACATGTAAGCGTTCTTTGTGAGGGTTGGCCGGTAGAACTAAAAAGGAGATTCGAGATTTGAAAAATGACTCAGTACCGAGAACAGAACAAAACACTTTTCAAATTTGGAATTGTGGATTAATATTGGTACTTTTTTTTAAAATCCGGATGCAAATCAAAGTGAAACGTGCAAAGCACATTGCACACAACTATTCATTCGACCGAATTCAAAGAGGTCAAATGATGGTTGTGAAATTTTTCCTTTATAGATGTTTGTAAAGTTTCGACTTCAGCGTCACACTTATCAATATGATACTTTAGTTTCCTCTTTTGATAACGATTCTTAAACGTTAAACGTTATGAATAATGATATACAAGGAAATACAGTTGAATTTCATATATTTACTAGAAAATCAAGACAATATATGCGATTATAATTCAATTTAAACAATTATGAATATTTCTTCCAAAATACATATAAAAAAAACAAATTTATGCTTCAAACAACACCGCATTTTAAAGTAATTGTAGTGTTTCTTTTAAATATTGTATTTTATTTTATACTACTATTGAAAATTTCTTAGAAATAGTCACTATAAATGGTTAGAGTTTACCAAATATATGTAACTCTTAGATTAAAGTATTGTAATACTCTATTTAAAATAGTCATATAATGAAACACGAAAAAACTATTCAATTTCGTTATAAAACAAAAAAAAACTATTCCATTTCGTCATTTTTTGATAACTAATTTAAGGTTAGATAATAAATAAATAAATAAATTAGTAACATTATTTATTTTCAGTGCATGAACCATGAAGTCTAAAAACTTTATTGTATAGAAATAGAGAAGAATGACACATTAGCGTCGCGACGTCGTCAGTAACGAAGACACAGGCCACTGGCGCCGATGTCACCCTATTTTAAACTAATTTTGACTCAAACTCACTCACTCACTCACTCACTAAAGTAATAAAAATATTATTATTCTTCTAAAGTGTTGCATTGCTTTGTTTTATAATAATTTAATTTTGAATATTATGAAAAAGAAGTTTTACTATCAACTGACCCGCATAAACCCAACCTTGTTCTACTTACGATTATCCTTAAAAAAAAAAAACTAACATCACCTGCGGCATTATCTTCGATGAATATTTGACACATAAAGTATTCCCTCGTATACAGCATGTCACTGTTCTCTTAAATTTCATATTATATCATGCAAATTATACGATAAACTCTACACGTACACAGATTATGAAACGTCCACATCAAATAATAGTTTGTAAAGTTCTGCCGTGTGACAACAAATTAAATCCGTACATCCCGGTGTCAGCGAAAATCATTACGACCGATATTTTTCGCGGAGTTCGCTGTTTTCGTTTAGACTTATGCAACTAAAAGTGGCACATGAAATTTCCCTTAGAATCTGACACGTAGTTACAGAGAAATAAGAAAACGACACTGCATATTATAATTTAAAAAGTATATAATACAAATATATTTAATTAGCAATTTATATTGTATATTTATAGAAAGGATTCATTAAATTTAGTAAATATCAAGATTTTTCAGGACGTATGTGCCCATAGAAAATCTAATAAAAAAAAATTGTTACGTGAATTCAATTAAATTATTTTGATTGAGCTCTATAAATAATAATGGTATTCTCTTCGTATCAGAATAACATAGACAATTCATAGCTATAGACCTACGAGATAAAAAAAATTGTCGACAAATCATCTATCTACTGTTATCTACAATATGTTTATTAAATAAGCATTCAATGTATGTCATATTAATTCAATGGCAAACAAAAAACTTTCCAGTAGTATATATCATGTTAAAACAGAGTTCATTCATTAATATTTTGTAACTATATAATAATATTTAATGATATTTTTGTTTAAACAGGGTCATTGAACCTTCACTGCCGAATATAGTAAGAATATACCTTCGTATCTTTCAACACTTAAATAATTGCTCTACCAGCATTTTGCGAGCACGTATGCCATCTTACTTAGCAGTACTTATTAATTTCATATAGTACTACTTAAATAAATAGAAGTCATTATACACAATATAATATTAGAGAGCTAATAAATATTTAACTGTATATATTCATCTTATATAAATAAATATATATTTTGGACCATGACCGTAAGATTATTAGCAAAAAATAATCAATTCAAACAATTATATATATATAGTAATTTTTGCAGTTAAATTCACTGTTAAAACAACATTATTTTAAAGTAGTCGTTTGGAATATTTTCGATTAAATTTCATATTAATAAATATGATGAAAAAGACTAAAACATATATGTACATAACATATCAATAACTCCTCTCCATAAACCAACGTCGCCCAATTATCAAACCATATAAGTTCACATGAAACCAGGTCCCTTAAACGTCCAGGATAAATACTTCTCAAATACCACAACCACAGTGTATCACACCGAATTTGGTTTCTTTGGGTTCGTCGTGACTCGTGACGCTATCCGCCTTTGTTCCAATCCTTTGTTTTGATATATAATTTGTTGCTATATTACAATCAATTAAGATTGAAGAATATTATACAAAATTCGAGAGTAATACATTTATTATATACTTGTGTTATAAAATAAAATGCTTTATGCTTTGGAATATCTTCAATGGAAATCTATTCTTATGTGACTTTACTAAGTAATTAACAAATTCATTATGTATTAATTTTCAATTAAATTATATCGTTCTAATATAAATTTTATAATAATTATCACCTCAACTCCCTAGTGTTCAATTATTCTAGCGTATTGGAGTATGCTTTCGTCATCCAAAGCCTAACAGCTTGTGAGGCGTAACTCTTGTCTTGTACATGCAAATGAGCCCTACGAACTTAACAAACTTAAATACACTGAATTACATGCTTGTGACATTTATAAATGATTACATTATATAAAACCATTATTATAATATTAAGAAACATGCTCTACATAACCGGACGGTCACTTCATGATTGTATAAGTGGCTTGTTTAAATGTCACATATGTACTTATTTATGTAATCTTAAAATATCTGTCTTCAATATAGCGTATTAAAATATTAATTAAATAAACATATCTTCTTCTACCTGGCATTTTCCCAGCTTTAGCCAGGTTCTGCCTTACATGATGTGAATAGTTTTGGCTAATTGTTTTTACGACCCTCTTTGGGAATGCATTAATCAGTGATGTCTAAATACTCTTAGAAAGTACATAAGACTCGGAAAAATCACATTGGTACTTGCCAGGATCTAACCCGCGCCTGACTTAATTTAAATAACCATGTCATTATAACTACATATAAAGTAATAATTAATATAGTATTGAATAGAGAATGATTAATTTTAGTAACACGTGTTGACAACCAACCATTGTAAAGAAATACAATATCGAATGAAAATAATAGAAAAATTAAATGCTCACCGTGTATCGCTGATCTAAGTAATCGGATACATTGAGTAGTTTAAGACGCGTGGGAAGCTAGACGAAAAAAATACACTCCGTGAGGTAAATGTAAACAGATTGAGATATATATACATGTATGAATATATGTATAAAGGTTTTATTTAAATATATTCACTACTAGCTTTCCGCCAGCAGCTTCGCCCGCGTGGATTTTGGTTATATTTCCAAGAGAACTTTCAAAAGTC